CCCCCCCCCAAGCCCACTCGTCGCTTCGCCCCGTTTCCCCAGGGAGAGGCAGGCGGGGTCTCACAACCACCCTGTGAGGAAGGTTAGGCCGAGAGTGCGCGGCTGGCTCAAAGGTGCCCGTCGCGCTTCCTGGCTGGGGAGGGGGCCCTGGGATGCGCCCCTCCCCAAGCACCCACCTCTAGCTGCGCTGTGCGGAGGAGCTAATGGGAGTAGTTGTCCCAAACAGGGGGAAGACACAGTTGGTGAGAGAGGATTGCCCTAGTTTGGCAGAAAACACGGTCACACCCACTAGATGATGGACCGATCGATTCAAGGCGATTCTTTGCACGGGGACAATAAATGGCAGAAGGGGAGAGTGGAGGTGGAAGGGCTTGCTGACAGCTCTCTGTAGGCAAGATCACTAAATAGAACCTCTGTATCCCAGGGCAGTCTAGCTGAAGATACCAGAGGCAGGAGAGAAAGCAAAAGGAGAGACGTGCCAGCTTCTCACCATGCCTTTGAGGGTTGGTTTCTGCTTTTTAAGCGTCTGACTGGTTTCATCTAGCAGGACTCTTCTTGTATTCTTAAAACTTTTTCACTCTAACGTCTGGATGTGTAGCTCCCATCTTTCCTCAGCACTGGCGATGCTGGCTAGAGCTGAAGGGATTGCAGGCCTGGAGTCCCCATCTTTCTAGACCTTCCACACAAATTACAGTGGATCTGACCTCTACCTGTGAAGTAAGAATGGGCAGAAAGCTGGAACTTGCTTCTCGTTTCGGGCCTCAACAGAAGCCCCTGCCAACCTGGCCAAAAGTCAGCCATGCTTGGGAGTTCATCCAAAACATTTGGAAATCTACTGCCCGCCCACTCCCACAGTTTAAAGCTTCAGGAGTAAAGCGTTATGCTAAGTCGATCCCCTGGCCTGTGCAGTGCAAAATGGTCTCTCCACAGGTTCAGGACAGAGAGCTCTACCTGGAGATGCCAGGGACGGAACGGAGGACCTCTGTGCGCACTGAACATGCAGCACCGAGCTATGGCCCTTTCTGTTGAAAACCAAGCAAGAATTTTGTCCCCAAGATAAGGCCTGATAAAAAGCAGGAGCATGGAAAGCTGTTCTACATCAAGGGAGAACACGGATCTATCTCAGCTCTGTATTGTCTACAGCAGGGGTGCTGCACCTTTCCAAATCGAGGGGAGGTACCTTCCCAGGTATGTCAGAAGGCAGGATTTGGCCTCACACCTTGCCTTCCTCCCTACCCATCATCCCGAACATACAATCTCCAGTTTGGCCCTTGGGCTGGCAGAAATCCCTGCCCTCTATTGTCACAAGCGAAGGAAGTAAAAATAGTTCTCATACAGCCGGGAGTGGGGACTTTTCAGAGTGCTTGTTGGAAGCTGGTGCTTTGGATTTCTGGGAACTGGGCCCTGCAGGCAAAGCGAAGAAACAGCTTCGGGGTGGGTGGTGCGTTGTTTTGTACAACAACTCTGGCTGCAGAAGTAGAAGAAAGGCAGTAACAGAAGTAGCAGGCAAGGGGGCTGGCCACCTCATTAATGAGCCAGTCTGCTTTCAGTCATGCTGTCCTCCATCTTGGGGTCTCGAAACGAACAGCATTTTTTGGCAATGCTCTCAGACCTATCACAGTTAAAGGCAGTCTGCATTACAGCAGCAGCAGAGGGAAATCCTATTACTTCACAGTTAGTCGTACACACACAATTTCGTTCTTTTGTATATTCTTGTAAGATTAAAACCTACTGCAGAACTATTATCCCATCCTGTCACAGCAGGAAGGAGATGCTGAGAGAGTGGCCAGCCCAGGCCGCGGCGGCAAGCTTCAAACCAAGACCTCTCTTCTTCTCAACAGCTCAGTCCTTCCAAGACGTCAACATCTCAGGAAACCTTAATAAAAAGTGCCTTTGAGAGAGAGCACTGGGGGGCAATACCCTCTGTTAAAGCCAAGAAGCCCTGCCCGCACTAGGATATATGCATGTCAGAAGCGCCCTGCTGGACCGAACAAGGGTCCACCCACCTTCTAGCCCAGTGGCCACCAGATGCCCACAGAAAGCCACAAGCGGACAGGAACGCAAGGTCAGCTCCTATCCAATAACCTCCTCCTCCCGAAATTTGTCCAGCCTTTTTAAAGCCACCCCAAATCGGTGGCCGTGGCTACAACTTGTGGAAAGGGGTTCTATAGCTTGTACTCTCAATGGGTACAGGAAGTCTTTCCCTTTGTCTCCTCTGAAACTCCAATCAGCTTCATATATTGATATTACATTTATAGCCTACCTTTGCCCCTCTTGAGGAATGCCCAAGACAACTAACAAAATTCCATTTTTATCCTCACAACAACCACCCTGCGAGGTAGGTTAGGCTGAGCACCTGCGACTGGCCCAGAGCCGCCCAGTGAGTTACATGGCTAAGTGGGGACCAGAACCTGGACCTCCTGGGTCCCCAGTCACCACCCCCACCACCCCGCTGGCTCTGAGGTTTTGCCTGTGCGATCTGCAGGGCCACCCCTCAAGCAAGGAGAAGCAGGTTGCACCTGGGACTGCCTTCCCAGTCTGGTGCACTCTGGAGGTGCTGGTTGCGGGGGAAAGCTTTAGAAGTCAGCTGCAAGCAGCCCAGCCCGTCAAGGACCAATCCAGCCATCACCCAGCCTCGCTGGAGGACCCTCCGTGCCTCACCTTTGCCCTAAAGACAGCTGCAGGAGGTTTCGATAAACCCCTGGCCTGACTCACTAGGGGATGGGTGCGTGGACTGGGGAGATAAGTTGCAATTTAATCAAGGGGCTGAATTTGATCACTCACATGACTTACAGGGCCACACAGACAATTGCTAAAGTAAACCGCTTTGGCACCAGTTATTTCGGAGGACGGGTGCGTCTACCTCTGTGCTCCCCAACTCTTTGCACGGTGCTTCTGCTGTGGACACACACCAATGGGAACATCTCCTCTAAAATAAATCACTTGGATCGGGGCGGGGGGAGTAGATCCGGAGTCCTGCTCTTGAGGGCCCCAATTCAAAGCCGTCCTGCTCTTGTTCTTTATTTTTCAAAAACCCTTCAATGCGCTCATTATCCCAGGAAGAGTTTTAAACCCTTTCCTTCTATTCAGGCAGGTCTTTGGCATACAAACCACCCTGCCACTGGAGTGGGTTTACAAAAACCAGTCAGTGCCACGTACTGTACTGTTGTGTTTTTCTGTTACATTTCAATAAAATGTAATCCAGATTGTAAGATTGCCCTTAATCCAGATTGTACGGATAGCCACTTCTTCAACAAAAGGCAGGAGAGCGATGAAATAATTATCATTTGCAAGAACTGTGCAGAACCAAAACACCCCTCTGCCTGCCAGCATGTTAATTCCCAGAGTGCGCAACTTCGGTGGATACAGGGAATGTTAATCAACAGACTTTTCGCGCCATTTCAGCTGCTACTGCAAGCATGGCCTCTAATCATGCACAGCTTCTTGCACAAAATGTCTTAGCTTTCCAAAGATGCAGCCTGGCTCCTGCCCACATTCCGGCAGCCCAAACCACCCCTAACCTTTCCCCTACTTCACCTCCCTCGGTTTTTGTACTCCTGCCTCTGGGCAGCTCTCTCTGTCCCTATGACTTACAGATGTCTGGGAAAGGAAGCAGGAACCACAAGAAATCTCCGCATTTTTCCTAGCTTTCTTCATTTACTCAGTTAGGTGGCTCTGGAACATTTCTCCCTCTGGGAGAGCAGAAAAGTTTGCCAAGACTGCACAAATGGATCCGGAACAAGTTGGCGCTTGTCTGAAGATCGCAAGGCTCAGAAAGCACCTTCCACCAACATTTCCCTCCACTGCAAAGTCTGAGTTTCAAACCAAAGGGGAAAAACAACCCTTCTAGGTACAGAAGTGGGATAAAGAGCAGGAAGAGCAGATCTTGGGATGGTGGTCCTTTTTTTGGACATGGGCCTTGACGGAGGTCTCCCTCGTATGCCCTGGTTCTGGAAAATTTAGAGGACCAGAGAAAGTCCGCTGGGGTTTTGGAAAGCTATGATGCCGAGCGGACCCTTGGATTTCCCGCTGGGCAAAGCTGGCCCGAGATTTTGCTTCCCGGGGAAAAAAACCATGAACATTTACCCTCCCATTCCATGTGCTAAAGCCAAATGGACCAGCAGGTGAAACACCCTTCCTCTATTTCGCCCTCAGAAGAGCCATGAAGAATAAATGCCAGTTTCCACATGGCACCCAACCAGATCTCCTGGGAACTTCCAAGGGAGGGAAACCTACAAGCCAAGACTTCTGCACATAATAGTTTCATTCAGACATTATAATTCATTGCCCTTATGAGATCTCTCCCTCCTCCTCCTCTGCTAATTTGTCTAATCCCGCTTTCAAGTTCCTTCTATGAGAAGCATCATAGCTGCATCTTACTTAGGAGATCAGATTTCTGCTGAGCTGGAATGGCCCTTAATTTGGTGACTGTGAAGCCTTCCCCCAGGATGCAAAGCGGTGCGAAGGCACATTTAAATGACTTAAAAATAATGTGTTTTAAATGGGAAATAACCCTGGCGTGCACTCTGCTAGGTTTTCCATAATAGGTATGCCAAATTCTGGTACCCGGAATTCAAGGTCTCGGCGCTCTGGACAGACACACATGCCCTTTTTATGTCTCCAAACAATGCTCAGGGTACCTGGCTGAAGTGAATGCCATAAGCTGGATTCCATCTTGGGTGAAGAACTTCATGTTGTCCTCTCCTGAATCTATTTAATGCAGTTCTAGGAAGAAGTTTGAACCAAGATTCAGACTTTCCCCCGCAGGACCATATGGGAAATAAACAGGCAGGGAGCGCCCTTAACCGGGTGTGGGGGGACACACAGAAGCTCTCGTGGCCGGAGTGAAGCAACATTAGGTTCTAATTCGATTTCCTTCACTGGGATTTCTAGACTGAAATCCCTTCACATTTTCTCTTCTTGCACTCTTGTCCTTTTCAGTAAAGCATCTGGGTGGGCCATAGGGTTAGGCTTCCGTGGAAAAGAGGGGAAACCTACAAGAGTTGCAGCAACTACATATAAGAAGGAAAAGTATGCAGCTCACGTTCAGGAAGTTACAAATGCACGAGAGGGGCCACCTCCAGGTCTGTTTCAGGCCAGTTCAGCAGGGAGCACCCTCTCCCTGCTTTTCCCCATCCCCTTGGGCCTGTGAGCGGGTGATCCTGAGAAGCCCTGGAGCTGCCTCTGGCTCCCCCCCCCCCTCTGCTTCTCTGTCTGGCTCATTTCACCTGGCTAGGGAGATGGGTGCTATTGCTCAGGGCATCCTTCCCGAGGTGGCTGCCTTCCAGGTGTGCTGGACTGCTCCTGCCCGGTAATTCACAGCATTTGCCAATGTAATGGGGGTGTTTCCCTCCAGGGCCGGGGAGAGCTGCTGCTACGGTGGGTGGGAGAAAGGAGAAGTGCGGTGAGGGACATATAACACCGGTGTCCTTGTGGCTCAGAAAGTGCCCCTGCTGTGCCCCGGGGAGCCGACTCCGCTACACCACTGTGCACACGCACGCACAATCGTCGCTACACCTGTTGTGAACACCACAGTAACATTCTATTAAGTGAAAGTCCCCACACCCAGAACGAGTGACCCGCTGTGATTTTATTTCTCTGACATTATTTTTACCTTGATCTCTTTCTAAATCTGCCCTTCTCTCTCCTTCTCTCACTGTCTGTCTGGCTTTCGCTTTCCTTCTCTTTTCTCCCTCCACAAAGGATGGCTGCGCACCGTTTGAAGACCTGTGGGGTGTTATACAGGACACTGCAGAAGCAAACAACATTATCTTGAGAATGCCCGATGTTTGAGAAAGAAATGGAAACCAAGCTAGGATTTTTTTGGGGGGGGGGGGGTTTTTTTTTTTTGAGCCTAAAAACAAAAGCCCCCCCCCCTTCATCTCCTCTCCCCACAGCCCAGGCCTCACACACACAAACACGAAAGAAACCAGTTGACTTGTACAAAAACATGTCGCCAGTTTTTTATTGTGTCTTTTAAAAACCACTTAAAAATGATAATCTCTCAGGGGGTAGATGGGGAATTAAAAATATAACTACCATCTGCATTTTTCTCGTCTGATGCTGTCTTGGTTGTTCTCCTCACAAGCCCCAGGTGAGCTCCTCCAAGCAGGGGTGTGGGAAGCGGGGCTGCTGCTCTGCAAAGCCAGCTGGGAGGAGGGTTTGTGGGTGGCTGGGGCCAAGAGCCCGGTTGGTGTTTGCATGGCTGGGTTGTTTTAGGCAGGGCTCAGGACGGGGGGGCCAACCTTTCCGGCCATGGCTGTACACGGAGGGGGCAAAGAGTCCCTCAGAAAGCTGAGGCCCCCTGCCCCGGCCCCTACGGTGGGTGTGGGGCGGGCAGGCGTGTCCGAAGCTCAGAAATGGAATGCTCTCTGCAGGAAGGGAAAAACCGGCGAGGATCGTCACCCTTTTTGTGGGAAGAGGGCAGTGGGGGGAACAGGAAAGGCCCGGAAATGGTTATTGCGTGCTGCAGAGAGCGACTGGAACGCCAGGAAGAGAGGGGCCTGGCAGGGGAACCCCAACCCCCCGAGGTGAGCCCCCACCCACAGTTCACTCTCCCCGACACACACACCAGCTCTGCTCCGAGGCCACCCTTGCCAGAAGCACTGATGGAACAGCATGCCGAGTGGACACGGTTTATTTACAGTCAGGAAAGGAGACGGGGAGCCAAGGCAGCCTCCCTCGAGCGCCCGACGCCACTTCTCACGGCAGCCCCCCGGACGGCGCTGAGCTGCGTTTGCCGAGGGCCCCCGCGGGGGGTGAGGAATCCTCCCCCCGCCCCCACCTCCCGGGGGAAGCGACGAGGGCGGGGAGAGGCTGGGGGCAGGCATGGCATGGAGGCAAAGGTGGCGCTGCTGCTGCTGCTGCTGCTTTGGAAAGCGGCTGTCCGAGCAACTGGGTCCCAGAAACGCGTCTCTCGAGAACATTGTCCTGCTGCCGATAACGTCTGGCCAATTGCTCTGGGACTGGTCAGGTGGGGTGCGCCAGGAGCCACCACCAACAAGCCACATCGGTGCCAGGAGGGGCACACGGTGCTGCTGGGGCCCCCGCACCCCCCCCCTCAGTCACTGTCCGAGCCAACGGCTGAGGAACCTTTCCGCTTCCGCTTCGTGGGTTTGGGTTTGGTGTCTTCCTCCTCCTGAGAGCAAAAGACATGTTTACATTCAGGGGGGGTGGGTGGGAGGGACAATGGGCGTTTCCCCAGCCTGGGGACAAAGTGGAAAATTGGGGGGGGGTGGAAGTGAAGAGGAAACTCTCTTTTTTGACTGGCAGGTTTTGTTCTGGGACTCCACACCTCTAGCTTTCCCCCTCCAAAGAATTACAAAGCATGGAACGAAAGACATGGGGAAGAAAATGAGATGAGAGAAGACCTCTGAGGACACACATCCCTTTTCTGGTCCCAGTGACCCTCCTCCAGGAATTTACATGTCCATGGGACTGGGGATTATGGGGGCTGTAGTGAAGCCCATCCAGAGGGCATCAGGAGGGACACAACGTGTTTTACAAGGGGCGCTGAACCTCTCTGGGCAAAAGGGCTACGCTCCTTTTGGAGAAGGCTCTCGGGTGGCCGCACTTCAGGGATGGACGGAGCCAAGGGCAAAAGGGAAGGGCCCCCAAATGCCAGCGCCATTTAGCTTAAAGATCTTACTGCCCGTAACAAGGCTTTAGGGGAGGCACCCGAGACAGGTGGGAAGGGGCACGGCTGTCTGAGGAACGCCCGAGACTCAGACTGAGGCCCCGAGGTGCTGGATCTGGCCACCGCGGATGACGTTTTGCACCTCTGCTTCCAATGGCGGCGCCTCCTTTGCGATTCGGAATGTGTGTGTCAGTGGAGGTAAGAAGGGGGAAGGCGGTGGCAGTACAGGGGCAGCGAGAGCTTAGTGGGTACAACTCCCAAACCTTAGGGGATGACTGTGGACCGTTTTGGCTGAATCCATTCCACCCTGGGGGATGCAAGAATAAAAGCAGCCCGGAGGGGACAGAAACCAAGCTGCTTAGAGGAAGGCCAGCAACTTACGTCTGGCTCTAACAGAGCGCTCCCCCTGGACCCATGCCTGACTCTCCCACTGCTGCAGGGTGCTGGTTTTATCACGGAGCCGATTCCTCTGGAGAACGGCATTCTCACCCCCCCCCCCTAAGCCTAGGGTGATGTGCGCCTGCTGTCTCTTAAGGTATACAGCCCGTGGAAATCAGGAAAGTGCCTCCGCTAATTTTGCCAAGATCAAGGTTCTAGACCTCAAGGGCGAACGAGGAGACCAGGCATAATGCTGACTCTCTGAAACTCTGCCAGTTCCTCTTGGCAGGCGGACGACTGTTCACACTTGCCCCAGGGGAGCCCGCCACTCACCGAGGCACTGCTGGAGGCGGACTCCTCTTCGTTGTTGGCCGGCTGGGCTGCGTTCTTGCGGCTGCGGGGGCTGGAGATGGTGGCTTTCCGGCGGCTCTTGGGGGGCTTGCTAGAGGAGTCTTCATACTCCTCGGCCAGGGAGAAGAGGTCGCTGAACCTGGAGAAGAAGTGTGTGAAAGCAGAGCTCCTTGGAGGCCTTTCCAGCTGTTCTCCTCCTTCTCAGCCCTTCTCAGCCATCACTGCCCTCTCACCGGCCTCTGGGCCCAGCGCGCACCACTCCGAAAGGAGAGAGGGCACAGCGCATGGCCTTGCTCCGGCTCACGCAGCGGTGGCTGCAGAGCTGGTGGCAACCGTCTTGGACAGGGCATGGGTCTCAGCATCACAGAATCACTGAAGAATATCCGAGTCGGAAAGGGCCGTCGGGGGCGACCTCGTGCTCCACGCAGGACTCCCAGTGACACCACCCCGCTTGGGTGGCTGTCCTGTTGCTTTGGCCACTCCTTGGCCAAGAGGGTGCTGCCCCCCCCCCCGCCCGGTGTCCCCTGCCCCTTTACACCCAGCCCTGCAAGGGCGGAAAAGCCCTCAGCCCCAACCCAGAGACGCGCAGGAAGGCGGCCGCACTCACTTCATCTTGTGGGCTTCGTCACAGCTGGCCTGGACATGCTGCAGAGCCTGAAGGATTGGGGTTTGGCTGAAAACTGCAAGGGAAGCAAGAGCGGCACAGCTGTGAGAGGGAAGTGCCGACCGCGGGCCAACAACGGGGCACCCACAGCCCATGGTGCTGGGCTCCAGTCCCCCAAACAGCCGGCCGGCGTGGGCCACGGTCCACAACTATGTGAGTGGGGAGTCCGGCAAGACCCAGAGGGCTATTGCTGTTCCACCATGGTTGACTCAACCACTGCACAATGGAAGAATGCGCAGGTAAGGAATGAGCTGAGAGCCACGCCCAGCCCAGGTGTTTGACAACTCTGCTCTATCATGTATTATTTTAAAATAGTATATAAATGTTTGTCTTCAGCCTGGAGGAGACTCAGAGGGGATCTGTTGGCGACATACAGGTATGTGAGGGGATGTCACACGGAGGTGGGGAGAGACCTGTTCTCCCCTGCAGAGGAAGGCAGGACGCACCCCAATGGAGCAAAGCTCAAGGAACCAGGGTTCCATTTGGATGCCAGGAAGCACTTCCCGACAGTCAGGATCCCACAGGTAAGGAATGGGCTTCCACGGGAAGTGGGTGAGGCCCCACTGGTGAGGGTGTTCAAGGACAGGTTGGACATGCACATGGTGGGCATGTCGTGAGTGGAGCCAGCTGGAGCCGGGGTCAGACTAGATGGCCCAAGAGCCCCTTCTGACTCGCTCTGTTTCCATGTTTCTGGAAAATCCTTAGGGCGCCTTATTGTATTGCCTGTCTTGCAAACTGTTGCAAACTGCCCAGAGAACTATTTGGCAGTACAGAAACACAACACAACACAACAGTCCAGGGGGCAGAGGAGAACCAGTTACTCCCTGCATCCCCACCAGCCACACACTAAGACAACCTGCCAGACAAAACACTGATGCTTGAAAAAACAGGTCAGTCTGCATTCCTGTCACTAGATCAGGGACTCGAAACACCAAACTCTAGGCCTGGCCTGTGCAAAGAGACAGAAAGTTGAACTTGCACCCGCTGTGGTCCCTGAGGTTGCAACAGTCGTGCGTCCTGGGCTAGGATCCGACCCAAGAGAAGGCGGCCTGTTCACAGGCGGTGGGCACTGGATCTACTTCAGGTACAAAGCAGGCAATGCAACGCTCACGGAATTTCCTGGGTTCAGTCTGTGACCGCCCCAGTCTCAAAGGCTGGGAAAGCTGACACCACTCAGAGCTGGTGAAATCGCGTGAGGTGGAGAGAGGGCCCAACGCTGCAGTGTCTCGTTCTTATAATCACCGAGCCGCACAGGAGCACACGGAGAAGTATACAGGGCGGAGTTGGGGGATACATACAGTTCTGTTTGGTGTTGGTGAGGTTCAGGCGCAGGTTATCCAGGTGTTCCAGGATCTGCTCCAAGGTCAGCTGGGCAAGTTTGCTGCTGGAACTGCGCAGGCTGAAAGCAGGCGGAGGGGAGAGAAAGCACACAGGGGCCATTACTTGAAGGGCTGTGCAGATGTTTAAAGATCCCATACGGAATACAATGCTCAAAGGCCGGGCTTGGATTCCGGAGCAAGTTATGCGGGCGCAGCAGAAAGGACTAGGGGCAGAGATGAGACAATGTTTTATCGTGATTACTGATCACGATCAATAATCGCTCCTCGCATGCAGCTGAGGGCTGCAGATTAACAAGAGGGTCAAAGCAAAACCAGCAGAGACAGGGCACCTCCCAAATGAGGCTGCCTCTCTTTCTGCCCCACCACCCCACCTGTGGCCGCTGACAAAGAGTCCCAGGGCAGGAACACACATGTGATATAACACAATGCAAAGCAGGAGTACAACACACAGATCAAACCGTGCCTGGGCAGCACACGCCAGGTTGGGCTTAACAGTCGGGGTTCGTTCTGGGGACAAGCGAAGTTCTTCGATGCGGCTTGGAGGGTGCAGGTGGTGGGGCATGTCCACACACCCCGAAAAAGGAGCCCAGGATGGGAACAAACAACACTCTTCAACACAGAGGACCGAATTCCAGGCCGAGGACCGAATTCCATGGGATTGTACACAGGAGCGACTGACTCTGCCAACAACTCACAGTCTGGCAGTGTAAGGACCAGCTCTTAGCCAAATCCACACATCTCCCTAGGCTTTTGGAGTCTGGACTGATGCTTCCCCCAGGAAACAGTCGCCAAATCGTGTACGTGGATCCGGTCAGGTGTGATTTCAGGTAGATGTCACTGTCAAAAGGACAGCAACATCAGGGACCCCGAACAGCAGCGAAGGGAGGAGTGGCCCAGAGCCCGTGGTGTGGAGGAGGTGCTCACGAGCAGCATTTCCTCCTGATTAGATTTCGTGAGGCTGCGCTCTGACTACACTTGGGAAGCGCTGTGCTAAAGGCAATTGGGAAACCGTATCTCTGGCAACCATCTTAATTATTATGGCCTATTTGGTGACAGGCCCAATGCGACAAGGGCGTTTGTGACCCTGTGCACCAGATGGGTATGTGGGTGGGTGTTCTGCCAGCCTGGCTGCCTCACAGCCCAACGCATCAGGTGGGCACCAGGGTGGGGCTTGGCTTTTTCCTGAGAGGCCCATCTCGGTGTTTTGCGCACGCCTGCTTTTCAAACAGCACTGATCCAGCCGCCTCGCTGGCACTCGGGCACTGGTGGGGAGGACTGGGCTGCCACTAGGTGTCTTCCTCGCCCAGCGAATCCACCCGGCTCTGTGTGGCTCCCGCAATCCTCGGCTGGAGTGGGACTGAATCCCATCCTGTGTCAGAGATTTAATTCCTCCCAAAGGGGGGTGTGTGTGCGTGCACACACACACACAGACCCACCAGATAAACGGTTCCAAGGCAAGCAGCCTGCTGGATCGAAAGGTTAGTCGGCTGAAGGGGGCATCACGCAGCTTCTCAACAGGGGCCTTCTGAGAATTTCGCCTGACTGGTGCTTTGTTCATCGCAACACACACACACACAGACCTTGTGGCGCTGCCTTTCCGACCCCAGCCTCCCTTCATTCCAGTTTAGTCTGTTCCCCTGCACTGCCCTTCCTCCCGACCCTCGGAAGCAGCCTTCTCCCAGCTGGTGCTCCACAGGTGTGTGGAACTGCAGGTCCCACAGCTGGCCGGGGCGCAGGTGGAACTTCAGCCCAACCCGCCCGAGGGGCACCAGGCTGGCAAAGGCTGCACTGAAGGCTTCAAATGCTGCAGCCTCTCTCGATGTCCACACTTACTGTGTGTGGGTTTGCGTTCTCTGGGGTGGCTTGTTGTTCTTGCGGGGTTTTTATTTTGAGGGGAGGGGTTACTTCTGTCGGAAGCAGATCTTCAGAATGTGTCTTAAGGGTTCGGCACAGCTGGTTTTGCACAGACAGCACCTGTTAGATTTAGCGCAAGGAGACGAGCGGCGCTGGGGAGGGGACGGAGCTGTTTGGCTCAAGGCTCCAGGTGGCAAGTGGCCACTGGCAACCGTGGAGGTGAGGGAGCCCCCTCACCCAACGCTTCCCCCTCCCCACCACTGCCACAGGACCACTCCGAGCAAGCAGGTGGTGGCCTCATGAACCCCCCTTCAACTCATGCAGGCTCAGCCAGGCTGTTCCCCACTCCAGCCTGGCTCGTTCGGCTCTACCTGGCCTTACTGGCCTACCTGTGACTCACTGGCTGGGCCCCCGGGGAAAACTCAGATAACGTGCCCTGCGTTTAAACCATGTATGTGCAGCAAAGGCTGTGGAAGAGGATCCAGTGAGGAGGAGCAGAAAAGGCAGCTTTTATTTTAACAACCTGGACCATTCCGTGACTGAGCCCGGCGGGAACAGGGGGAGGCGACTGCGCTGCAGACCAAATGCTCTGGGAAGGGGACAGAGTTGTCCCCGTGGGGAGGGGAGGGAGGGCTCCATAGGAAAGCTGGCAGCTGTGCCTATCTAAACACATTTTAGGATTGGGGTAGGTTCTGGGATGCTCTGTGATGATCGCAAGCCTGCTTCAAGCTCCTGACTGTGGAAGGCCTGGGTCTGGTTCAGGCTGCAGTCCACGTGTTTTTATGTTTTGGTGCTACCTGGGGAGAACGCACCACCTGAAGAACTTTCCCAGGGTCAGAGCCGGCACCTAGCAGGTGAGCACCTATGCCCCAAGTACGGCGAAAAGGAAACAAACATGCCAGGGAGAAGACCAGCACCTTGGCTGCTGAGAGGGCACCTTTCTATGTGCTGGGAGCATTAAAGAAAACAGCGGACAATTCAAGCAATCCCTTTGAAGTGGTAAAAAAGGTAAAGGTAAAGGTTTCCCCTTGACGTTACGTCCAGTCATGCCTGACTCCAGGGGGCGGTGCTCCCTCTTGGCCGAGGGAGCCAGCGTTTGTCCGCACACAGTCTCTGTGGTCATGTGGCCAGCATGACTAAACACCAAGGTGCGTGGAACGCTGTTACCTGCCCACCGAAGTGGCACCTTTTTATCTACTTGCATTTGCATGCCTTCAAACTGCAAGGTTGGCAGGAGCTGGGATGGAGCAGGAACTCATTGGGCAGATTCAAACCGGCGACCTTTCGATCAACCAGTCCAGCAGCACAGCGGTTTAAACCGCTGCACCACCTGCAGTCCCCTCTGAAGTGGTACAGGCCCACAAAAAGCTTTATCGCTTGTGTCTGTGGCATGCATGAACTGAGGTCTGATTTATCTTCAGAACGACACCCAGGTTTACAAGCTTAATCATCAGAGGCATTTGTTGATTTTCCTGGTTCTCATTTTTACATTGCCCTTTCTTAGCATGCAGGGCTGAGTGGGTATTGGGTGTACATGGGAGGGTATCCATAGCAGTTCTCCAGACCCCTTCTCTTGCTTTTAGCACAGAAGAACCTGCATGGTTCTCCTCACCATAATGAGGACTAGAAACCTGCTGCTCCATTTTTATGCATTTTGCAGGGGAGGGACCAGAAGGCCTCTAAGTCTCATTCTAAGACCCCAATAACACATACAAGTGGTGCTGGCAGAATGGTATGGTCCAGGCGACATTTTAACAATGGCCTGGACCACCCAACGGATGGCATGCACAGTGACGGGATGCCAGGGAGGTTGGCTAAGCACTCTGGCTCCCACTGCACCCTCCTCCCTCCCTCCCGCTGCCCCTCCCGCCTTCCCGCGTGCTCCCACCTTTGGCGCTTCCGGGGCAGGCTGTTGTTCTTGATGAGGAGGGACTTGATGTGCTCGGCCAAGGGGTCGTCGTGCTTGATGCACCAGTGCCGGAGGATGCTGGTGGTGAACTGGTCGTCAGGGTGGCAGGGCCGGCTCAGGACCATCTTGACCATCTCTTCGCTTGGCCTAGGGAGCAACGCAGGGCGCTTTACCCAAGTGTGTGGCAACAGGCGTCGCCAAGTCCCCGGGATCTTGGCTCGTTTTAATAACGGGCACGCAGTTTTGTTTTTTCAATGGCGTGTGCCTGACAGTTTTATGAGCTAGCCCCACCTGATGAAAGAAATCTTGATTGATCCGATAAGTTTTGATCAATTCCATCGGCATAAATCAGGGGTGGGCACCCTCTTCCAGCTCGGTGGCTGAATTCTATTTTGAAGAAGCTCTTGGGGAGTGCCTTCCAGCCCCAGGCCAGGGAGGCAGCCAAAAGCCAGAGGGATAGCCCAAAAATACAAAAATAAACAAAAAAAACCCCAGCATATTTTACAGTATAAGCTCTTCCTGCAACTAAGGAGGCTGTAACAAAAAACATTTCCACCATTTAACGGCATAAAGGTGGGGAAGCCACTGAATGACCAGGGACTGGGGGAAGGAAGGTGTGACCAGGGAACGGGGGAGCAGTCTGAGGTCACAAGAAGCCTTCCCCAACCCGGTGCCCTTTAGAAGCGTCAAACGGCAAATACCGTCGTGTTTTAGCTTGAAGAAGAGGAAACTGAGGGGGGCTATGGGAGGACTCAGAGATTCGAGAGGCTGTGACTGGAAGACGCCATGGACTGGCTCTCTGCCGCCAGGGAGCACAACCAGATGGAAAGGGGGGAAGCGAAGAGATCTTGGGAACGGGGTCTCCTTCCTTAACAACCTGCCCAGTCACGGCAGTCGTCAAGTAACATGACCCTGGAGATTCCACAGGGGCCAGTGGCCTGACTGGAGTCGGCTGGGAGAAGACTCCTTCAGCCCGGTGGCTCCATTCCTGTGGAACTCCCTGCCCCTGGAGGTACGGCAGGGACCAACACGATGCTCCTGAAAACCTTTTTATTTCAGGGAGCTGTGCTAGCCATGCTTACAGTGGTTTTATTTTTAACATACTGTTTTATGATTGTATCTGCTTTGCCCTTTTCTGGTTCGCCACTCTGAAGTCGCTGTACTAGAATACAAAGCAAGCTTTAAACCTTGGAGAGGAAGAGAGGGAGGACGGACGGACGGACGGAAGGCGGCAGGCAGGCAGGCAGATTTTGACTAAACATTAGGCTAAACTCCCCGAAGATGAAACACCAGCCTCATGAATCAGTGGGATCCCCTTTCTCCTGGGCCTATTGCAAGGGGGAACGGGCAGCCATCGGCCGAGAATGTCAGCACTGCTCTGCGTTAAGCAGTGAGCTGGACCCCACAAACCCCGAGGCCCCCCCCCAAGCCCAACGTTCTATTAATGTCAGCGATTCATCGGTGAACAGCACCAGTCCTAATTTGGCGATGTTGCCAACCAGCAAACATGGGTTTGAGGCCCGTGAGCGCCTAACGATCTGCCCTCGGGTGTTCCTGACAGAGACGTTATTCATGCTGATATACTGCCTTATATGTCAAAAAGCCGCTGAGCTGGTACACAATCACTTAAAACAATAAAAGCTGGCAGCCAGGAAAACAAGAACATTGCAACAGGAAAAATATTAAAACATTACGAACTACGCATTGCAAAGGCTCGATGGAGAAAGATGGGCTGTTAGACCCTTTCTAAAGGCCAAGAGGGATATTCTTAATTCTTGAAGGAGCGCCTTCCATAGCTGGGAGGCAACGAAAGAGGAAGGCCTTTCATGCACAGCGACAGAGGGGCCTCCTCAAGAGAAAGGTGCCCTCCTCAATACTTGGACGGGTTCGCAGTGAGGCAGGCAGGCAGACCTTTGCACAGCCAAGATTTCAGCCGTTTCAGGCCCAAAGGGGAAGACCAGCACCCTGCAATGGGGCGAGGAAGCTACTGGCAACCAGGGCCGATCGGACTTTCAGGACAGGTGCCACCTGGTCCTGACACCACGCAGCACTAGCAAGCCGAACGACCGCTGGTTCTTTGCTCCTGTCACAGCTTCTGGGCACGCCTCCTTTCACGGGGGCCGCGGCTTGGGAGAGAAAGGGGAGGCTGACATGCAGGGAGCAAGGGAAGAGGCACCGCTGGCTCAGCCCCGCTCCCTGGACAGCCGGCCAAGCTACTCTTAGAGCGCAGCACTAAGAGGCCTGCTGCGATTCCCAGGCCATGCGTTCCTGGCACAGGCTGGCCTCGAGGGAGGCCCGGATCTTCCCGGGCAGCGGGAAGCTGTGTGGGACTTCCCGAGATGCACGGCCAACACAGCGCGAGGCACTGAACGCAGGGGTGACGGCTGCCTCTCCCCGGGGGCTCCCACACGGCGGATCTCTGCTAACGCAGCGCTGCATGCCAGGTCAAGGGCAGCCTGTCCCCCCCTCACCCACATCCCAGAGAGGCCTTTCACAAATGGCCCTTTGGCACCATCCCCGCACAGAGGGCCGGCTGCAGCATCAACAACTCCCTGTGGGTCCAAATCTGGGCAGGGAAAGTGCGGCCGGCAGCAAAGGACGAGGGGAGGGCAAAGTACCAGCCACAGCTGAGGAGGCTCCTCTGCCAGACGTCAAGAGGGGAATGATCTGGGAACGAAAGCCTGGAGGGGAAACGGAAACCAGTGCCTCCATGCAGGCCCTGTGTTCTGCCCCCTAGATATCCCAGGATGATGGGACATCATGACACAGAATCCTTCTGGACAACCGCCTGGAAGGGAAATTGTCTCCTGCCCATAAGAGAGCCAGTGTGGTGTAGTGGTTAAGAGCAGGGGACTGGGACTCAAGACGATCCGGGTTCGAGTCCCCGCTCAGCCATGGAGCCAACTGGGTGGCTTTGGGCCAGTCACAGACTCTCAGCCCAGCCTACCTCACAGGGTGGTTGTTGTGGGGATAAGATGGAGGAGGAGAGATCATGTAAGCTGCCTTGAGCCCTTTGTAGGAAAAAGGCAGGATATAAATAAATAAATAAATAAATAAATAAATAAAATAAGTTTCCATGCAGCTCTGCCAAGAATGATAAGAAATCACAACCCCATGTCACGGGAAAGGGAGGATGCCGGGGGGGGGGGCAAATGTCCCCCCCACCCAGCCCAGCACACGAGCAGCAACACAGACCCTGCAGCATGTGCCCAGGGTTAGCCCCACAGAAATCTGCTGAACCCTCCACCCCATGGCACTCTCATTCCACAGTGGTGGGGAAACGGCTTCTGTGCAGCCCCATCACTCCAAGAACGGTCACAGATAAAACTGCTAAGGCGGCCTGGATATTCCCTGCCGGCAATTCGTAACTCTCCGCAATCCTCAGCCAGTTCTGCAGACAGACAGAAATGCGGGGGACCAAGGCGTTCTCCTGGCCCCACACTCAATACCAGAACAGACTGAATTTGCGCTGCTCGCTCCTGCCTTCGGCCCGCTCCCTCTCACAGCTGCACAGGAAATTAAAAGCCCATTTAAATGGGCCTCTTTTGGGTCAAGGTGCTAATTAGTAGGCACCTTTTCCAGTGCTGGACTCCCAATTAACATTTGGGGGGGCAGGAGAGGCCGTTCTGCCTTTTGGTGTACCAGCCCCAGAAACACTCCAGCTTGCTCTGTTCCGTGGCTCGTTAAGATGCCATCCACGGCCCAAAGGAGTGCTTATATCAAGCGGTGCTTGAAGAGATGAGGCGAAGGGGTGGAAAAGGCCAGGCAAGAGACACGGGCATGTGAAATATAGCTTTAATTTCCTGCCCTCATCTGGGCTTATTAGAACTCGGAGACCTCCCTGTAACATGGCCGGTGCTGCATTGAGTAAATAAAGGTTTATCAGCCACACAAGGCCCCAAAATTCCCTCCCTTTCCCCCCTCCACTGGAAAATCTTATTCAGCTACCCTGTCATTTCTCAGAGGTCACAGCAGAGATGACTAGCCATGGAACCAAGTAACTTGCTTTTGAAAGAAAGAAAGAAAGAAAGAAAGAAAGAAAGAAAGAAAGAAAGAAAGAAAGACTGAGCCAGCGAGCCAGCGAGAAGAGGAAAGCTGAGGACCTTACAGAATATGGAAATCTGTCTGCTGTAGAAATACTAGCAACATATTCAGTCCTGCTCACTAGTTGCCCCCCCCCCCCGAGTATTTCATGGGCACTAATAGCTTTCCCTGGAGACTTTTTGTTATTGAGAACGGGAAGCAAGCTACCCTGGCAAGAAAGGAACTTCCGGAAAACTGGAAGAAAGACTCAAGTACGTACTTCTCTCGTCTCAGCTGGAGCAATAAGCACGAAAGCGCCTCCGGGTGTTCTGCAACGGAAAGTGAGGCTTGTTAACACGGGCTCCCTGCTAACCAACCCCCGGGGGCAACTCTTTTCCCATGGCCGCAGCGCAGAAGGGGGAAGCAGAGTAACTTTTCTCTCTTGCTCAGGTAGTTATGCCAGGGTCCAGGATGCCTGGGTTTAGTCTCAAGCGCCAGAAAGCTCTTTTGCAGAAATCACCAAAATCTCATGCACACAGAAAACCAGCATTGCCAGAAGTTGAGGCTACGTAGGACCCTTCTCTATATACCAACACACAGGTGTAGGGTGGGGTGTAAATACAGGGAAATATTTGGGTCTGGTTCTTACAGAGTTGGTGAATATTTGTCTGGACCCACTTAACTGAAAGCTGTTGTTGCTGTTGTTACCACCACCACCAGAACCTCTCCTCCTGAACAAAGAAAACTTAGCATGGGAGGAAGAAGAATACGCTAGCAGAGCAGGGAATTTTCCTTTCATCTTGCCAGGGAAAAAATTCAGTCAACCCAAGCATGGACAGGGAAGAGATGGGTTTTACCGGAAGCTCGCCAAGGGCTTCCTGGAGAATGGGATCTGCAGAACCAAATGTTGCAGAAAGGAAACACCCTTTACCATTTCTTCTTATGCAGCCCTTCCCAACCTGGGGGCCATCAGAGGCATTTGGACCACAACTCCCAGAATCCCCATCCAGCAGGGCCACTGAGGGGAATTCTGGGTGTTGCGGTCCAAATGTGTCTGGAAGGCACAAGGTTGGGAAGGCTGTTCTCCTGGATGGGATTTGAAGCATAAATCAGGGAGGACAGATCTGGAAATCCCACCGGCCTGTCCCTGCCTGCCTCCGGCTGAGCTGACAAGCAAGCACAGAGACACGGACAGCCTGTGTCCCACCACCCCGGCCTGCCACCCCCTCGCCGGGTCATCCCAGGCCTGGGGACACGGTGGCTGTCCTGTCCCTGGCCGGCTCCCTTACCTTTATACTTGAGGTGCTGAAGGATGGGTATGATGGTCTCCAGGGGGATGTTGTGTGCCAGGAAGAGCTGCCATGTGCAGTACTGCTCAAAGGTCTCCCACTCCAAGCTCTGGACTGGAGCGACGGCAAGGGAAAAGAGAGGATGCAGAATGTCCAGCTGCCTACGGGGCGCAGGCCACCTGCTTCCTATGGGCACAAATGTGCCCCCAGACACCTCTTTGACACCCAGCGACACACCCCTAACCAGCCACAATGTTTTCTCGCCGGTGTTTGGAAGAGCTTCAGCCTGGAATGGGGGCATGCCCTCATTATCATTATTATTATTATTACATTTTTATACTGCCCATAGCCAAAGCTCTCTAGGCAGCTGACAGCGATAATCACAGAATCATACACTCAAGTCACCCATCCCGCTTCTGCCCAGGCCTGACCCTGCTTAGCCTCCAAGATGAGGCAGGATCAGGCACTTCAGGCTACATGGAAGCTATGGGATTTCCGTGCATCCCTCTAGCCACGTTGCTGCTCTGTGCCCTGCCATGGCAGGCATGTTGTGGCTGCACCCTCCCCCCCAGGATAGCACACACGGTTGCCCGCCCCCGAGGGCCTGCTTGACTGGGGCTGCTTCTGGCGCCCGCCCACGGAGCCCAACTCACTCAGAATGTTCAGGACCGAGTCCTTCCGGAACATCACCAAGTCTCCCATCATGACATGGCACACCAGCTCCTGCAGCTGGAAACAGGGAGCAAGTGTCAGGGAGGCGAGAAGCAGAAGGAAGAGTATGGGGACTTAAAAGCCACCCCAGTTACAGCAATGAAAGCAATGCCTTACTATGCATTGCATGGCTAGGCCAGCTTGGGCACCTTTTACTAAGCCATGATTTAAGCTAACCATTGTTTACTTCTTTGGCCATGTCTTGCCTTTACAGAAGGGTGAAGAAACGCCTGCATGTTTCCCCGTTTCTTGTTTGTTTCTCCTCCGCTCATTTTGACCCACTTCAGAAAGGTTTTGTTTTCAGACTGCTCTTGCTTGGATGCACCCACTTCCCAAATCTGGCTTCAGACATCACAGTAATCCACAGTTTAATGAAGCCCGACTTAGTACAACAAACCATGGTTATGTATGGATTGTAGCTCGTAAGTAAACTGTGGTTTGCTTACAAGGATGGGCTGCCACAAGCAAGCCAGACTCCATCAGACTTTTCCACCAAAGACCTCAGTGTGCTTGAGTCCTAAGGGTGTGTGTGTGTGTGTGTGTGTGTGTGTGTGTGTGTGTGTGTGTGTGTTTCCCCTCTACTATTTCATCCTCATAATAACCCTGCAAAGTACGTCAGGCCAGAAGGTCAGCCCCAGCGCCTCGCACTGTGAATTTAGCGCAGGTCTTCTGAACCAGGTGCCACCCAAAACATTCTGGACTGCAACTCCCGTCTTTCCAGACCACCAGCTTGGCTTTCTGGGACTGATGGGAGCTGTAGTCCAAAGCATCCGGAGAGCACCAGGCTGGCAATCCAGGAAGGCCAATGGACCTCCTGATTGGCCACTTCAGATGGGGCTGCGTATCCTGACAGAAAAACAAATCCAGCAGTGCTTTATCCAGGCACAGAAAAATTTCAGGTCAAGGAAAAGGTGCGGCTAGAAGCAGTCAGCCTGCCGTGTTAACCTCCTACACTGCGCTTTCCATGGGGGGGACACCAGCCACCCCTCTGTGGTAGCACCACCAGGTTTGCCAGCGTACTGGGGATATGAACCCAGGTCTTCCTAGTGCTGGCCATGCAGCCCACTGGCTAGATCATCCTGGCTTTCGTACGACGGACCTGAGCAGAAAAAGGAGGCTTTTTCGCCATTCCCGTTCTCTCCCTCTCTGCATCCCATCCAAGTTAGCATAGGCCAATCTCTCAAAACATTGGATGTTAAAAATGGCCTAGCAGTACTGCCCTAAATGAGATTACTCAAACTAAGTCCCAAGAGGGCATCCTTCTTAGGAAGGCTGTTCAGACTTGGAGGGCAAAATTACCAAATTAGACTCTAAGATAAATTCTTAATTGGTCTAACATGCTTCCTGGCCATAAGATTTACAGGCTTCCTCTGTCTGGAACTGGAAGCAGGGCGGCAGCACCGCGCAGCAGGTGCCGCAGGGTGGCCGTTAGCCTCAGCCCGGTCTCTGAGAACACCAGTGCTAGCCGAAGTCTCCCCCCCCCCGCCCCCCGAGACCTCTGCCTTCCAGCCTCTTCTGCATCTGCTGCAGTGCCGCCAGGAAACAAAAGGGCTGAACACGGCCCAAGGAGAAAATGCCAGGGGAAAGGCCCGAGGCTTGCAAGGGGGGTGCGGGGTAAGGCTGGCCATGCCCAGAATGTGGGATCAAGACCTGTTGTGGCCCTGCAAACCTTTCCCATGCCCGATACCATCTTGCTGCCCTGCCAAGGAAAACCAGCTAGAGGGATCCAGACAACTGGCATGGGAAAAAGAGAGAGAAACTTCGCCTTTTCCAGGCAAAGCTCTCGTGGGCCCACAGCAGGAAACCTGGGAGGGTTCTCTAAGGAGGGGAGCGGGAGACACCTCGGCCCCCGGCTGGGAAGTATTATGCCCACCCCGCAACAGCCTGAGAATGGGCTGGTTGCCATGTTGTCGTTCCCCCCCCCCCGGGTGCCATGGCAACCCGTCCGCATCGCCACTGCACCGTGGGCACGCTCTCAAGAGGCCTCTTGCCCAGCGCTCTGCTCCAGGGCTGTTCCTGCTCCCAACATGACATGAGGCTGGAGACTGCGCTTGTCCGTACATCTGGGCTTCTGGCCTGTGCAGCTGTTATTCTGACCGGGGAGGGAGGTGAGCTGCAACGGTCAGAGAAAGCCACTCCGCACACATTTAGAAACCCTGGACAGGTTTTCCGGGGCTGAGCAGCTGGTGTCGGGAGACGCGGCAGAAGCTTGGCTCGAGCGATGCCCCAGGGCCAGCTGCGCTACTGGGGCAGGGGCAGCCCAGCTCCCAAAGCAGACGCCGGCGGGTGGCAAGGAGAGGCGAGAGGAGCCTAGGCCAACACCCTTCCTAAATCCAGGCCTATCCAACCACCAGGCTCTTAGTGGAGGAGAAAAATTACCAGCCGTTCCATCAGGAAGTTTCCATTGATATTTCTGGCTATCAGATGTTTACTCCCAACACAAAGAAGTTAATGCACTGCTGTTATTAGAGCCCTGGGCTGGGACACTCAAGAGTCCGGGGTTCTAGTTGCCACTTAACCATGAAGTTCACTGGACCATATTACGCCTCACCTACCCTGCAGGGTTGTTGTGAGGATAACAGTGAAAAGAGGGAGGACCATGTATACCACCTTGGGCCCCTTAAGGGAAAAGGTAGGATATAAATGTAAGAAATAAATGATGGTAATTCCAGACTATGGAATCTGCTCCCCGGAGAGGCCCGCCTGGCGCCGATGTTATATTCTTTCCAGCACCAGGTAAAGACCTTTTTATTTGATTGTTATTTTAACAATTAAGGTTTTTAGACGTTTTAGGATTTTTTTTTATTTTTCCCCCTTTTTCACAGTCACATTTTCTATAGTGATGTGCTTTACATTGTTTTAATAATTAATGCTTTATACAGTAGGTTTATATTTATTTTTTTATATCTTGCAAGCTGTCCTGAGCGCTTGAAGCAATAGGATGGGGTATAAATGTATGTAATAAATAAATAAATAAATAAAGTGCTTTAGTGGTGGTCTGTGTTTGGGAGACAGACACACAGACCAGCAACAGAAGTCATATATATTTAATGTGCTAAATATGCTAGTGATGGAAGGTAGAAGCTGACACACTTAGTGCTAAATCTATTTCGAAGTTCCTCTTGTGTTAAGTCTATTTATCCTTCCTACATATTTTAACTTAAGACTGACTGATATGTACCTTGGCTGCTTTATAACTTTCCTTCTTTCTCTGTGGGTATAAACAGGAGGAGAGACTGAGCGAACGGGGCATGTTCAGTCTTGAGAAGAGAAGGCTGAGTGGAGACATGGGGTCCCTCTTCGAGTACCGCAAAGGCTGTTGCAAACAGGAAGGCCAAGACCTCTTCTCGCGGATACCAGAGCGTAGGACACAGAATAATCCACTCAAGTCCCGACAACCCAGATGGAGGCCAGATATCAGGAAAAGTTTCCTCACTGTCACAGCAATAAGGCAAGAGCTCATGGGCTCTCCCACACTGGAGACATTCAAAGAGAACCTGGACAGCCACCTGAGTGGGATGGTGTAACGTGGGTCCTGCGACAGCAGGGGGTTGGACTCGATGGCCTTCTTGGCCCCTTCCAACTCTGCTATTCTGTGATTCTATGTATTCTTAGACCAAATTCAGTCACAGAAAACCCTATGTACCCCATTTTTACAGGCCGGGGATGAACCAAAGACAGAACCGTGAAAAGGAGAGACAGTTCACACCCAGATCCCCTTCCCCTTGGCTGTGGTATTCGCCGCTGCCCTCAGCTTCATGGGATGCCTAATCTGAATCCCCCCTCTCAGTCTAGAAGGAGAACCCAAGTCTGGGACTGAAGCAGCGCATTTTGGCACACCTGTGCACACCTGACAGGCAGGCCAGCCTTCCCCACCTTTCCGTAAGGGTGGACCTTACCTGAGCTGAGTCGATGACAGCCACGATCATGTTCAACAGCTCCCCGCTCCGCAGGGTCTCATCTGGAAACTGAGGAGGAGAGGCAGGCAATCAAACGACAGAAAAAAGAGACTGGCTCCTTCACTGGAAGACTCCTCCCACTTTTAGGGGCCACCACATTGTAGCTCATGTTTACATGAGCGACAGAACCAGGTGGCAGAAGCCTAATGATGGCTCGTCTGGCATCACGGTTAGAGCACTGGACGGGGGCTTGTGAGACCTGGGTTCCCGTCCCCACTCAGCCATCAAGCACGCTGGGTAATTTTGGACCAGCCACTGACTCTCAGCCTAAGCCACCCCCTCACCGGACTGTTGTTGAGGATGATGTAAGCCACCTTTGGTTACTCACAAGGAAAAAGGTGGGACACAAATATAATAAAAATAAACAAACTTCCATCAGCCCCAGCCAGCATGGCGAAACATCGGGAGAGCTGGGAATCGTAGCCCCAAGCATTTGGAAGGCAGCATGCTGGGGACTGTGCTACTTCAGACAGCTGGAGAGCATCCCATGCTCCCTTATGGATTTCCCCCCCGTTTTGCTCACTTCCCTATAGAAAACTTAGGATTACCAGGGAAACAGATCCTACCTCAGCGTACCTCTCCATCTAGCCCACTGCTGTTCTATTTTCAAGAAGTTTTACACAAAGGTGCCTTTAAAACTGCACCCATTTCCCCCAACTGCAGTCCGAAGAATTTTATTTATAGACGCTTGTAGTGGACGGTATATAAAAGCTTTACGTAAGTAAGTAAATGAATAAATTTAGCATATTTATAGCCCTTTGTACTTCCTTCATGGAACTAAGCATGGGGTATTGTTCTTCCTTCTCTCTCTAACCTAAGATGCCACGTCTTGTCATTCTGCTGAAAAAATAATTCCAGGGCCACCAAAGTTTTTATATATATAAAAACCCTCCATGCAACAGAGACCCATTATCTGTGGCCTAAATATAGATTGAACAAATTTAGCAGCGTTTCACCTCGGATTTATGGAGAGGGGTAAGTAAGGGCCCCTGATCCTGGAGACCTTCTCCCGCACCCCATCCCCACACAAAGCATGTGATTTCAAATTCTCAGAAAACTAATCCTGCACACAAAAATCGGAAGTGGGTGCCTGATTCCTCCCCCAAGGCTGCAACAGTGGCCTTGGTTCTATCCTCCCACATGCAGCAGGGGGTGCCACAAGCTGCACACAGCTGGCCAGTGAGCAGAAGCCAAATCCAATTTGTTAGCTGGCTTTTCCATCATCAAATATGCCGAAAAATCCAACACGAGACATTCTGTTCAAAAATTAGATGTGAACTCGAGCGTGCAAAGCAGCAAATGGGGTTAGGACCTGGCAGCAACCCTCCCGATTTCTTACAGAACTCATTAGTCATTTTGCTCCTACAGAACAGGAAGTGCTGCTTTTGTTCGCAAACACTTTGGGTGAAATAGGCACAATCAAACGGCAGGCAGCCCCCAGAGGACTGTGACAGTGAGGGGGTTTTTTTGGGGGGGGCACCAAAGGGGGGTACTTTCTTGTCCCTCTGAAAGAGATACCCCAAGGCAGAGGTGTCCTTGTTAAAGAATTAAAATTCTTCTTCTGGTAGCTTTATTCTTATTATTTCCTCCCAAAACATATTACAAAAATAGAGTAAGGAAACCAAAGATGGGGTAATAGCAAAAGCAGAAGTGCAGAAAGCTGCTTCGTACCAAATCCGATCCTCGGCCCATCTAGCCCTATGCTGCCAACACTGAACAGCAGCAGCCCCCCCTGGGTCTCAGGAGGAATTCTTTCCCAGCCCTTTCGGGAGAAGGCAGGGATTACGAATGGGGAACTCCCTGTGAGGCTTCTTTTCTCCCTGGACGTGTTCCTGCGCAGGGGATGCCACTGCTGGACTCTGTGATACTTCCAGGGAATCATTCCCAAGAGGCCTGCCGGCCTTGCCAAGGAGAACACATGGAACGTGTGACCTTGTTCTGTGCTGTGGAGCCACGAGCAAGGCTGGTCTCCCACTGCTCTGTTCCCACTCATGAGGATCAGAGGGGCCCCGATTTGCTCCCTTGTCGGGGCACATGGAATGAGGAGGTGTCAAGCTCTGCAATGAGGCTGAAGGGGCCACCGTGCTTCGGGTGACCTTCGTGGGTCAGCTCCGGGGGGCGGGAGGACAAGCACCAGAGAAGGGGCAATGCTGCATGTGCCTCTGCAGAGGTGGGACGTGCCCAGTGGGTGAATGCCCCTCCCCTGCACTTCGGAGACCCAAGACCACTGCCAAGCCCGGGGGACGGAGCAGAAACCTGCAAGGACCAGCTGCGGCAGAAGACGGTGCACGACGCCCAGGAAAGGCCCCCAACAAGCAAACATCTCCGCACCCCAGCTTGCCAGCCAGCTGAACGACGGGTGCCGTCAAACGTTTCATTAAACTTGGACGGCCTGTGGAAGGGGCAGCACAACCCTCCCTCGAGTCCAGCTTCGTCTAGAGATGACTCTGCGTCTGCGGGCCACGTGCTATCGCTCAACGAGCGCACAAGTAACGGGCAGTGGGAGGAGGGGGGAGCAAGGCTCCCCAAGAGGAGAGGCAAGCAAAGCGGGGGGGGGGGGGGTTAAGACCCCTGCCTCAACAGACACACATGCCCCCTTGGCCGCCCCAGGTTTTACTCACGAGGCTGCAAAGTCTCCCCAATGTTCTCACGCCCCTTGGACCCAGGAAACCCCCCCCCCCCACCGCAGGCTGGTCACTGGTAAAAGAGCTGCTGCTCCCTGTATTTGAAATGCACTCCTGCTGCCGGCTGTTGATGCTCCCACGTGCCAGACTGGGGAAGGCTGCACTGCATTTGGGGAGGGGGGGCGCTGCAGGCGGCCTCCCCACAAGCAGGGACGTTGGTCAAGACAAACCGGGAATGTGGAAGGGCCCCCCACCGAGAGAAGCCCCGAGTCCTGGCACCACACTGAGAAGAGAAGAGCTTTGCCACGATCGAGGCTTGTTTCGCTCTCTGAGCCACACGACGTGGCGGGACTAACCCGCCCTGCGGAATGCTTGTTGGGATCACCACGGAGGAAAGCTGCAAGACGCTCGTTAAAACATCTGCATTGAAATGCAGCCTGCTGGGGGGCGACGGGGGGCAGGACGGTGGCCTGGCCAGCCTTCCAACTGCCTCCTGCAAAAGCCTTTGCGACTGCCCCCGCCGGGTCTCACCTCGGTGTAGATGGAGGGCGTGAGGTAGCAGAGGAGCCGGACGTCGTCCTCCTGGCAAGCTTTCATGTCCATCATCAGGCAGGTGTGCAGGTCGCCCAGCTGGGTGGCCTGGGCAAAGGACTCGTACAGGTTCATCTTCCCAGCCGCCGCTTTGCTGCAGAAGAAGAACGGAGAGCAAGGCCAGGTGAGTGGGTGGAGGGCTGGAGCCCTCCCGTGAGGGGGTTGTGAGCTCTATGCCACTGATACTACTGCTAATCAATCCTACTGATATTGCAACTAGTGATATTGCTGCAACTTTCGCGGCTGCTGCTGTGACAGCCAATAATATGCCGCTCCCACAAAGGGAGCCCCCGGGCCACGGGAACCCGCAGTCTCAGCGAGAGCGCAGGCCGTGAAGACTAGAACAGCAAGTGACCATGAGAGCAGCGGGGTCCTCCTTCCCCAGGACGATCCTCATCCTGCCCACTCCGTCCTTCACCGGCTTTGCCGAGCTGCCTGCCCTGAGTCTTAGGGCCTCCTCAACCACAAGCCGCCTCGGCCAGCAGTTGGAAAGATCACGAGGATCGTGTTCCGCTTTCAAAAGGGAGCATGATACAACATGTCCTGGAGGTGCTTCGGACTTCAAGTCCCACTGCCAGCCAGCACGGCCACAGATCGGGGACACTGGAACTTGTGGGCCAAAGCCTCTGGAAGGCGAGAGCTCGGGGAAGGCCACCGCGTGGAACCAAAGCCAAGATTCCTGACTGTAGATGGACATTAAACGTTTCTGCAGGCTGGCTCCCTGGCCGGCTCACCTGGCCTTCAGGTAATAGAGAAGGTGGTAGCCGATCTTGGGCTGTTTCTGGTAGAGCTCAGACAAGAGATCCAGTAGCACGGAGAAGCTGCTGTTGTCCTCCTGCATCTGGCAGAGGTTCCTGAAAGCGGGTTGGGAGAGGGCAGAAGGGAGAGAGAAGCAGAGTGGGATCAGGTTGACATCCAGCACTGCAGCCCCTGCCAAGGGAGCTGTCCTTGGAGGTCAGTAAGTCTGGGCCCGACAGGCTTCCGGTCTTTGCACCCAGCCCCGTCCCCCAGCAGACCCAGTCGCCAACGGCTGCAGAGCAAGCGAGAGCGGCACGCTTCAACCAAGAAGTGCTGCAGAGCGATTATGAACTCATGACGGGGTGGGTCACAGAGGGGGCCTCCTCTTTCGCCATGGCCTTTGCCCCTTTCAAGCCGGCCCCCCGCCACCAGCAGGCAAGGAGAGAGAGACAGAGAGAGAGACAGAGAGACCCAAGCAAGCTTGCAGCTTTGGAATCCAAGTCAAAGACACAGGCAGGTTGTGTGAACTGGTGTGCACACACGGGTGCCAGGACCGGGCTTCGGTGTGCTCTGCCACAGCCCCTTCCCCACTTCACGCTCACGCCACAGAGCCTGAGGCAAAAAAGGAAAGGGGAGCGAAGCTGAAAAGTATGAGACTTACCTAAATATTAGGTAAAGCGGCTTCCCCACGGATTCCTCTAGAGACCTGCATGGAAGTGAGAAAGACCGATCTCGTTGGCATGACTGCAGGCGGTTAAGAAAGCACAGCGGCTTGCAGAGTACACCGTGTGTGCCAGTTAAACGCCTGCGGAGAGCAGCGTAGTATCCTTTAGCATGGCTTATTTTGCTATACAAAGCTGGCCGCGGTTCACAGGTCTCCCAGCACCCGTGCAGTGCAGTAGGGTTCCATGGTGGCTTGTTAACCACAGAAACAAGCCACCCTGGCTGAGTTCACATGACCCAACACACTGTGCTGCTGAGGCTAATTGAATTAATCTCCTCCAGCACACGCACCAGGCAAACATCAGGTCAGCGAGTACGAACGACCCATGAAGTCAAACCCTCCGCATCTCACGCAGAAACTTTGATAATTTTATTTGTGATGTTTAACCTGCCTAGGAATAAAAATTATCTGGGTAGATTGCAATGCAGAACAAGAACACAAACCCGATGCAAAACAACAATACACAGCGTAGAAAAAGAAACCCCACTGGCAGTGCGAAACACATGAAGGGGGCTGGGAAACCAAATGCACCCAGGAGGAGACCAGGGGTGGAAAAAGGAAAATGCGGGTGGCAGGAATGCCCTTCTTGAGAAGGGCATTCCAGGCGGAGGGTGCCACCACCAAGGAGGTCTCCTTCCAGCAGCCACTTCCTGGCTTCTGACAACGCCATCCCTTAAGGCCAGTCCTATGCAGATGTAGGTCTTGGCAGATGCAAACAATATATATATAGTTAACTTGTTTTATATTTTTATTGGATAATGTTTTAATTGATATGTTTGTGAGCCACCCCGAGGCTTTGGTGAATGAGGCGGCATAGAAATTTTCTAAATAATATATCCTGCCTTTTTCCTACAAAGGGCTCAAGGCAGCTTACATCATCTCTCCTCCTCCATCTTATCCCCACAACAACCCTGTGAGGTAGGTTGGGCTGAGAGTCTGTGACTGGCCCAAAGTCACCCAGTTGGCTCCATGGCCGAGCGAGGACTAGAACCCAGATCCTCTGAGTCCCAGTCCCATGCTCTTAACCACTGCACCACACTATCCCCACCATGTTACGGCCTGGACTGGGAAGGAATCCCACTGTGCAGAGGCAGAGCTTAAAGACCGGCTAGGAAACAGAGTGCCTAGCGATTGGAGGAAGAAGGAAAAGGGCTGCCCTCCGCCCACGCCCGTGCTTACTCTTCCGTAATTTCCTCCGGCAGGACCTCCCCACGGAAGTGGACCTTGAAGAGCTCCTGCAAGCACGAAGCCAGGACTGACAGCTGCTCCTGGTCGAAGTCCTCCTGCGGAAGAGGGAGCGGAATAAGGCCAGTGTTGGGCTTCACAGGACCACCAGCCCAGGGGCAAAAAAGAGGGCGGGCTGAGGAACGCCTGGCCTTGCAGAGGCTGCAGCCCGGGGGCATCTGGGGGTCCCTCGCCATCCCAGTGCAAGGGCGACGGCTGACGACAGGCTGTCCCTTCATGTGTGTGTTCCTGCTGCACTTCGCTATGTTCCCGGAGCCAAAGCCCCCTCCTCTATGGACCGTGGCAAAAGGGGGGCACGGGGGGCAAAAGCCCAGAAAGATTTTACTGCGCTGATTTGCTTAACCGTATCTATGAGCCGTCTGCGTTAAAGAAATTTCTGAGCCATGCACAGAGGGCACGTGTACTTTGCTGGGAATGCCCTGCCAGAAAAGGCTTTTTTTGTTTTCAAAAGGTGTCAAACCAAAAAAAAAAGATCCAGATGGGGTGATGCCTGCTTGAACCTGCAGTCTGGGAGGCGAGTCCAAGACCGTGTCCTATTCCAAGCTAGGACAGGGGAAATGTCAGGGCACTGTGCTCTCCGGCAGGCTGCCCTTGCTGGTCCTCAAGCTGCCAAAGCAACTGCTGGAGGATCTGCAGCTCCCCCCGCCCCATCCCCGCTTGCCAGAGGACAGCCTGTTAAGCGTGCCCATCCAGAGGTGACCCACACACACCCTGCGCCATCTGTGTGGGCCCCCCCACCCTGTGATGAACAGGAGCACGGCAGTCAAGCGCCGGCTGTTACCTCCAGCACTTGGTCCACGATTTCCTGCATGACTTCACACTGAGCTTCTGTATCACTGCAGCGCAAGAAAGAAGAGGAAACCCAAGTTAGAGAGAGCGTTCGAGATGAGGGCCGGGACACACACACACACACACACACACACACACACTGTGCAGGTCTGTATGTCAGCAGAGCTCAGCACAAGCTCGCCTTAAAGAGAAGGCTGACAGGAGCCGCGCGGCTGGAACGGAACGGGGACTAACAGGCCAGAGGCATCGCCAACTACCTCCTGGGCAGCCTCTGCAGATGCCTCTTCCGCTTTTTGCACGCCGGCTGAGATGCAAGGGAAGGGCTCAAAGCAAAGAAACAAACGGGCCGAGGGCAGCCGGACTGCTGTGGGGGCTGATGCGTGTCAGGATGGGAGGCCTCCGCTGCCGCTGAAGGCGAGAGCCCCGTGCCTGCCTTGGATTGTGCGGAAAAATAGGTGCGGGGGAGCAAGAGGCCACTAGAATTGGGGGCAGGGCCCCAGGCCATCGGGGAAGCAGCACATGGAGCCCCCCATTCCCAGGACCGAGGCAGGCCCTAACTCTCAGGGGTGCAGAAGCCGGGAGGGGGCCTGTAGCCAAACAGGAGCCTGGCCTCCGCACATTTTCTCCACCTCGTATGCGCATGGGTCTATACACATGCTGCAAACAAATACTTAAAAACAGAAATATGCCAGATGAAACTCCCATGCGATGTCTGCCACACTGGCACCGTTGGCCAGCAAACCAGCTTCAGAGTCGTGATTTATCGATCAGGCGGGCGGCCCCTTTGGCAGCCAGGCCAGGAGCTCCCAAGCAAGCCTGAGTTTGGCTCTCACCAGGAGAGCTGGGAAATTCTCTAACAATTGCATGCCAGGGCAAGGTCCCCAAGTGCCGAGCAGGCGGCCGTGAGAAGGGGTAACAGCAGGAATCTGGGCCCGACTTATGCCAGCAAGGAGGCAAGCCCCACGGCCCTCTTCACCGGGGCTCTTTCCTCCCTCCGCCCCCGACTTCACATCCAGCTATGTTAAAAGAAAAAAGAAAAAGGCAGAGACGTCCGGCAGACTGAGGAAAAACAAACCTATTAAATGCACTCTGTCATATGGGCTAAATTAATGCGAAGTGCCAGGCCAAAGGCTTCCTGCTGCTACGGGGAGCATCAAAATTCCAACCGTGGCCGGTTCCAAGGAGAGAGACTGGCCTCAGCCTAAGAGACACCCCCCCCCCCCGCATCGGCCCCAAGGGTGCAGTGCACCAGAATGGGGAGGAGAAGGCCCACGTTTGGGCTGGGGAGGGTGGGGAGGAGCCTTCCTCCTCACCCCACTTCTTCCCTGAGCACGCAACTGCCCCTCAAGGTCTACCTCGCAGGGTTGTCCCAGGGTAAATGGAGGCGAAGACCACAGGGGGTACATCTTGACACTGGCTAAGTCACAGAAGCAAGAAAGGCAGCCGTAAAAGATATGAATGCCAGAACCAGCGATGGGAACTCATGAACGTCACAGCCAGGACGTTAACCCGGTTAAAGAGATCTGCAGCTAAGGAATGACTCAAAAGACCACCGTTGCAAAATATCGGGAAGGACTGGAAGGATACGGCCTGGATTTTAAGAAAGCACGTTTTGCTCCTTCTCAGTGATGGGGCGGCAAAGGCAGTGGGCTGTGAAGGAAATTCACAGGGGATCTGCAGCCACCGTGAACGGGAGACGATGAGATTTGTAGACATGTGGGAAAGCCAGTGCATAGCACTGTATGAGCTCCTGGACAGGGAGGCGAGATAAATTCTTAGGAAATACCTAATGGGAGGGAGGAAGGAAGAAAGACCCATTTGGAGTGTCTCCTATTGTGTCCAGCTCCGTGCACTGCATTTCTGAATCTTTTAAGAGGCAGAAAGTCCTGCCCATTCCCTTCGGAATTCCCGTGTGCAACCGGTTTTTGGAGAAAAGCCGCTCGTATTTTTCAGATTATGTGCTCGCCCGCGTTGCAGCCACTCAACACACCCTGCAGTGACTGCGTGTAAAAGCACTCTCCGGCTGGAGTGATCCTCTCCTGCAATTAAATTCCCTTCCTTCCATAAAAAGAACATTATGTTTGGGGGGGGGGGGGGGGGGGAGGAGAGGGAGGAACCATTTCCCGCCACAGTAGGCAGATACATCCCGGCCACCGGCTGTGGACTCCTTGCCTCAACCGACGGGGAGTGCAGAAAGGTCAAGAAAGCCTCTCTTCAGCTGGCCTCCGAGGGGCCACGGAGCAGAATTGCCGCAGAGAGCAGCAGCAGCATCTCCAAGGACCAGGCTGAGAACAGAAGACAGACAGGCCACCCTGCCCTTCCTGGGAATATCGTGCTCCGGGCTATCGTGCTGGCCTTGCTGAAGCCGAACGCCAGGCCAGGTGGGCCTTAGGTCTCTTTCTTCTCTCGCTCATGGGACGGGCACTGTGCTCTGCGCAAGCCTGACCCAGCTGTGCATTCGCAGCCAAGGCCGCGATCGGTCTGTACCAACCTCCCCTTCTGCAGGAGCAGGACTTTATCCTTCAGAGACTCATCCAGCTGGTCCAGGAAGGGGGTGATATCAACCGGCTCTTCGACAACAGCTTCCTTGATGGGATGGAACCGGAATTCCCGCTTTTTCCCTGCAGCGAAGGGTGGAAAGCCAAACAGGTTCCGGGAGAGAAGAACCCACACACACACACACACCCAGCCCTCACCTGGAAGACGTGCTCAGCCTTGCCCCATGGCCACAGGCCCAGACAGGCCGCACCTGCCCATCCCACCTCTTCCCACCCCATGCTGGTGCCTTGTTAAGATCTGTGCCACTGCCTGCATGTTTTAGTCCTTTGAAGAGCCAGTCTTGGCTGAAAGGTGGAGTAGAAATGTTTCCCTCTATTTCTGATAGTCATACTCATGCAGAACTACCAAGTTTGGAGGAGGACAAAATATTTGTGGTGGAGACAAACCCTGAATGCCCCCTGGCAGGGAGAAGGGGAGAGGAGTGGCCAAACAGACAAGGGAGGACCGAGCACAGAACGCGGATGGATTGTTGTGGGGGAAGGCAATCGCTGGAAATGATCAGGCCACACTGCAACATTTAGTTGCAGCTCACACACATTCGCACAAAAGAAGTGCTTTGTTCTTGCGGAGACAAGAAGTTTGGGTTTGGGATGCTGCGCTTCAGGCTGGAGCTGGGGCTGCATGTGATTAAATTCTTCTACCTTAAACCAAAAATAAAACCCCACACGTAGCAAGGTAGTCTGTCCAGAGAAGGCTAGGCCAGAGCCCTTTCCCCTGAGATGCTAGCTCTCTATTCCAAGGGCTTTTTGCTTCTCCAGTGGAGCATTCAGCCCTGTGAGCCGGCCCCCAGCTAAAAGCGGCACAATCCAAACATAGGTTCGTCCTTCCAACACAAGGATGGTGTCTAATTCAGTAAGAGGGGCTCAAGAGCAGAAGCTGGGGACAGGGGCAGGGGAGATACCAGGCCTGGCTTGCTCCACCCATGAGGACGTGTGCCAAGAACTTTGCCTCGCATAGCTGGAACAGGAAGGTCATCAGCGCCCCCTCAGGGGGCCAATCCGAAAGCCACCCTTCCTATTCCGTCCCATCCTGCTTCATGCTTCACAGTCCTTTGTCTTACTATGCAGGCCTGGAAGGGCACAAGCCGTTCTGGAGGGAACCGACTACGTGCCTTGGCTGAGAGAAGCGAGCGACAAATTAGCGGCCTCCCGCAAGGGCCGGTGGCTGCTCACAGCCCGGCCATGAATCCCATGTGCTTTTACCAGGCGGGCTTCTGAAAAAGGTGAGACCAAAGCCAGGTCAAAGTCGTTTTTTCTCTGCTGGATGCCAGAGGCTCCTACGGGAAAAGTTCTACTTTACTGCCAGGTGCATTCTGGGATCCCTTTTGGGCTGCAACCCTGCACACAAGGAGCCAAACGCTGGACGAAGAAGAGGAGGGGAAATGCCCTCATCCTTAGCCCTGCTGGAATGCAATGAAGCAGCCTCTCAGTTCTCTGCCAGGAGCACGGCCACTGGACTCGCATGATCTGAGTCCCACCAGTACGTGGTGCGGGGGGGGGCTTGAAGGCCACACACAACACTGCAGGGATAGCAGGTCCCTGAAGACCCAGAAGAGCTTTCTGTGGGGGCAGGCCACCAAAAACTAGGGCAGACTCCCCCAGCTCAAGGTCCTTCCAAGGTGCCAGGCATGTTCTCACAGGCTCTGCAACCCCTAAACTACCTGGGACGATTCTTCCCGCAGAGGGACTTGGGTTCTCCACATGTCGTCATAATAATAGCCTTCAGGCTCTTGGGCAGTATAAAGATGTGTTGGATAACAATAATACTAGGAAGGAGGAGGAACAGCGCCAAGGTGGGAGTGGGCGGAAACTCTGGGGCTTCTTAAAAGTTGCAGAATTCCACTTTTGTACACGAGGGCTGGACGTGTGGTAGCTCTCCTGATGTGGATCACCAGCCTCGGACAGAGGCTGGGTAGCAAAATGATTCTATGACATGGAGAGTCCATGTGCTGCAGGGCTGAGTGCGCTGGACTGGGGAAAGCCAGGATCTGGTTTGTGTTCAGCCATGAAGCTCGTGAGGTTACTCTGGGCTAGTTGACTGCCCCTCAACTTAACCGACCTCCCAAGTTTGGGAAATGGACAGAATGGAGAGGAGCAGGAAGGCTGTGTGAATGGCCCTGAGCCCCTTGCAAGAGGGAAAAAAGATGGGACAGGAATGAAATAAAAGGAGTAATAGGAACTAAATAAACCCGAAGGTGAAATGACGGCAACCCTCTTTACCTGGTTCACTTGTACTCTGAACCAGACCCTCCTGTCCCCAACAGCAAACTTGGCAAGTTTGGGTCCCTTCCTCCCACTGCTTGCGAAGGATCGAGCCTGCCCCAAAGCGCTTCCACCAACTTCCAGAGGCTCTTCTCGGCAGCCTAACACAAACCAGATGTGTACCAAAAGCAATGCCTCGGCACTCGAGGAGGTCTTTGGGGATTCTAAGAAATGCTCGAGAAGGAAAAAGGCCACTCCGACTCCAGCCAGGAAGCAGCAGGACAGATGGGCCAGCTCCATGCAAACTACAGCGGGGATACGAGTTGCAGCATTTCTGGCTGAAGGGTTTTGGAAACAGACCCAGCAGTAGACACACAACAACTGCGAACCAGAAGGGAAGGAATGGATGCGACCGAACCCATCCCCATGCCTGTTCTCATCCTAGTCGTGGCTGCTAATCCGGAAAACCTCAGCCATTCTTTTCCATCCCACCCACCTACAAATATGTTGCGCTACAACTCCCATCAGCCTCATTGGCCATGCTGGCTGGGGATGCAGGAGGTCCTAGTCTAATACATTTAGAGTCGCCAGGTGAGAATATTAAGCTAAGCCATAGTGCAGGATCCACAAGCCATGTTTTTCAAGTGGCGTTTGCCAACTTGAGTTTAAGCTACCCATGGTTAAGTGCTTCACCAAGCAAACCACAGTTAAAGCTCCTTGTTACGCCGCTCTGCTCTTGCCTCTCTGGCTCAAGTAGATCTCACTGGAGGTCTCCCTAACCATGTTTTTTGGGTGCAGAACAAACAGCTGTGCTTGAACACGTTAATTCAGAGTTTGGAATATGAACACGGGAATCGATGTTTAAAATGTTAATGTGGATTATGTCAGCAACCAAGGTGGATGTCAATCACCATTTGGACACTCAGACAGAGGGAAATGCCTCTCGAGACAAGCAGTGAGGCAGCTCAGGGGGCGTGTGTGTCTCCGCGGGGTTTGTTCCGGTCAAATGAGAAAGCAGTGAGAGCGAAGCAGCTCCTGGCGATGGGACACAGCAGCCCTGCCTGGCTGGCCTCACCTTTGCTGTTCAAGTCCTCTTCGTCATCACTGAAAGCGGCCTCGGCATTGTCGTAGCAACCGTCATCCTTGTCGGACATGTGATTGTCCATCTCCATGGAAACAGGCTCCTCAATTTTGACTGAAAAGAGGAGCAATGCAAAGAACTGATGGGCCTGGGGGGGTGTGGAGGGGCCAGGGGAGGGGAAGGCTGGCTCGCCAGAAGCTTTCCTCTGTGGTCCAGCTGGAAGGGCACAGGGGCCCTATCTGGAGGCAGCCGCCAGCTTGAGGGCTTCAAGCAATCGCTTCCTACATGGCTTCCATCCTACTCGCTCGCCCTGAGCCGGGCCCAGCTTTCCGGCAGGAAGACCCCCCTTGCCTTTAGAAGCTCAAGCAGCTGGACATCCAGATCTCACCATGTGGACAAGAGGGATGAAAGCCCACCACCCAACCCCAATCCAGTGTTCCAAGTGATCAGCACCGAGAGGTGCCCGACATCGGGTTAGGTCTCTCGTCCATCCAAGTCCAGCAGCAAACAGGCTGGACGAAAGCGCTCCAAGACCTTGCGTGGAGCCAAGTGGACTCTAGTCTGCCCGGCAGCCTAGTCAAGACGAAACTAAAACGACCCCAGCTTCCACGAGGCTCTCTGAATCAGCTCAAAACCATGATTGTGCACGGACAACATGATCTTCCACACTCAACAGTTATGCAGGAGCTGAGCGTGAATGGATAAAACACAGGTTCTCATGTTGTCTGAACCCAGCTATGCTAACCAAGGCATGGCTTGCTGACCACAAACAGGCATGTAGAGAACCCACAGTCTGTTGTTGAGCGGTGACCTTGAGCTGCTCGCCACAGTTGGTTATCCTGAGTTGAGACAATACCACAATCCATGTCTCCGCAACAGCCCACAATAATCAATGGTTAACACTTTAGAGTGAATTATTGCCTTGCCTGAACCCAGCCTTCGTGGCCTGTCCTAGAAACCCCCCATCTCTGCTAGAGGAGCAGAGCACAGCAGCCCCCAGGTTCTCACACACCGCAAGGCACCCACCTATCTCGCAGCGGGCCCAACACCCCCACCCCAGCCCTCTGCCCCATTCTACCTTCAACAGGGGGTGAGGGAGAACTGCAAAACTCCGGAAATTTCTCTCTCAGCATGGCCCGGAGCTCCTTGTCCAGCTTGGGGTTGTCGAAGAGAGGAGCCAGGTGCCTAAAGGACAGAGCGGGGACAGAGATGGGGGGAAAAACTGATCACGGACAAAGAAACTTCATGCAACTGACACAAAGGACCATGTGGCCCAACGTTCATCTCTGAGGGCGCCTCAAAGTTTTGGCTGGATGTGCCACAACTGACTGAAACATCTGGGGAAGAGCAGACCTGTTCCAGCCCTCTTCTACATGATACCTTCCAGATGCTCTGGACTACAACCCCTAGCATTCCAGAGGTTTGGCTTTGCTTGTTGGGGCTGGCAAGGTTGGAGCCCAAGGACACCCATGTCAGGGAAGAATCAACACATACTAAGGAAAGGCCTGACTTATTTCTGCCTGCAGCATGGAGGGGAAATGGGCAACGCACCCATTTAGGGTGATGCAGGCACGGCCTACCGCACTCTTTCCCTCATGTCATGGGGAGAATTGTGTCCTGCAACTGCAGGGGGTTGGACTCGATGGCCTTCACGGCCCCTTCAACTCTTCTATTCTATGATTCTGTTTCGGGAAGGGAAGGCAGCTGTGAGCTTGGCCACATGACACCTCCCCTCATGAAACCAGCCAGCCCTAGAGAGCGGCGGCGGCCATTTCCACGAGCCACAGGAAGGGCAAAGCCCCCTCCCCACCATCGCTCCTCACCGCGAGAGGAGCCATTTCTTTGCAAGGCAGCCTGAAGGAACCAGGCGGGCGGGGGGCGGAATATGGCTGGCATTTGCCGCAAAGGAAGAAAAACCAGAAGGGTGCCTTACGCCAGGACTCGCTTCTCCACGATGTGGGTGAGGGAGTTGAAGACGCCTTGCCGCACGTGGGCCTCCAAAGCAGGATAGAAGTTAGGAATGATCTATAAAGGAGAAGGGAGATGGGGGGGGGCTGCTCTTAGTTCTGCCCGGGGCTTTGACTCCTCACGGTGGTTCGTCAGGCCTCTGCCGCTGATACGGGGACTGAGGGTGAGCCATCCAGCCTCCGGAACGGCGCTGGGCACCCCGGGAGCCTTACCCGGCACATGAAGTCCAGCAGGGTGGCAGTGATGGCTGGGTGTGGTTTCATGGAATGATGCATGACAAGGATGGCGGGTTCTGCAAAGCGAAAGGAGGCAGGCGTTAAATGCAAAAGGAGGCAGAAAGGGGCCCCGGCGGCGGCGGCGAGGGGCCGCCCTGAGCGAGAGCCCAGGCGCTCTCCAGCGTGGCAGCACCCAGGACTAAGCAGCAGCTCGGGTGAGGGGCGGACCGCCCAGAGCACCCTGGCCGTCGGGCGGCACAGAAATCAAATGAAGGAAATGAAGGAGCGAACGGCAGATCTCCGGCACGTGGCCAAACAGAGCCTGGGGGGGCTGGAGGGAGACGGTGGAGCCGCAACTGCCTGGGCGCCGCTGCAACCCGAGCTGCCCGAACGGACGGGGCGGGCGGCTACCGTGCCATCTTCCGCTAGACCCAGGCTGGACAGCTGCAATGGGCCCTGCATGGGGCGGCCCCTGAAGACGGCTTGGATACTGCAAGCACAGAAACGTGCACAGCCGAACCCGGCATCTTCTCGCTGACCACTCCCTCCACCTGCGCAATCTAAGCCAGTGTCAGGCTCTCTGGATGTGCACAGAGGCACAGGTGTCCCTAGCCCTAGCCTGACCCTGAGCCCTAGAGGAAGCACGCTGGTGAAATCCCAGCCCACTGAAAGAGGCCGCAGAAAGGCAGGACTGGTGGAGTTCCTGCCGCAAGCCAGGTCAGCCGGAGGCCTCTGGATGTGCCCAGACCGGCTGCATCCATGCTTCCCTCCAGCAGCTCACGGTGGGGGGAGTGCTGCCTGGGGACCTTCGCCCTCCAGTCCTTCCCAGTCTAAAAAGACACCCCATTGGAGGACATCCACTGGTACGCTGATGCGGAAGCCGTCTGCAAAGGAATGTTACCTGCAGTTACTGATATAACGTGCAGGGGGCCATCTTTGGCTCCTCCAGTTTTTTTGGCCTGCAACTGCCCCTAATCAGCCAAGTGTGCGGAGTTGCTGCCACTCTCCACACACACATCTGTGGAAGGCCTCCCACGGCCCACCCGCTGCAGAGGTAAAACGGGAAGCTGCCGAACACCCGCTCTGAATATCAGCCTCTCTCTGTCCTGCCCTGAACCGTCTATTCCACTTGGCAGAGACTCTGGCCAGGCTGGTAATCAGAGCACGCGGGAGTAAGAAAAAGGCAGAAAAAGGCCTCTCCCAGCCAGTCACCTTCTCATCCTGGATCAAAAAGAAATGCAGCACTGGAAGCGGCAGGAAACTGGCCATATGGAGAGGGAAAGTGGAGAAGGGCCACGTCCATGGCGTGGGGGAAAGGAGAGGAGGCGGGAATGTTTGCCCATACCGATGTTCATGATGCTGTCTTTTTCCGGGTTGAAGAAAAGCCAGTCGTAAAACAAGGCCAGCTTGGCATTTGAAGCAGCGACGTTGGACTGCAATGGAGAAGAGAGAGGTGATAAACCGAATCGTAGCCACAGCCGTTGTGCTTTTGCTGACGGCCTGGCAAGGCAAGGCCAGGCAGCTCAGCTGTAGTAGAGGGCTGAACCAGGATTCCTGGGGTCTAGAAATCGGCAGTCCAGACGGGATGCAAGGAAAAGCTCAGGAAAGATAGCATTCCGGTGAGGGAGGACTGGTGTTTGGACATGCCCTGCTGTGGGCTTCGACTTCCAGGACTGCCTCACTTTTAGCTGGTCCTCATCCAACAGGTCTAGGAAGACACACACCTGCACTAAAACCAAATTACTCGTTGTGCTAAGTCCTATTTGCCTTGACAGCAATGACCACACAGCCAAGGCTCTGGCTCACAGGATCCGGGGTTCCTAGACACAGTTCATTAAGAATTACAGCCAGGACTCATTTGCATTATGTCTTCATTAAGAGCTCACTAGTCTTCAGAAACTTTTAAAGCAGTGCCCAAAGATACTCCTTTCACAGCAGTGTTTGCTAAAATGGCCACCACTCCATTCAAAATGCCCTCGTTCACAAGTCTTCTCAGTGACATCATCAGGTAGCCGACCCTGATCGGTTGAGTCCAGAGAGGCTGTCACATCTGGTGAAAGGGGGCATCAAGACAGCGCACCACTGGCTATTCAGTGTGATCTCTGATTGGGTGGGACCACCCACCGACTAGCAAAGGAAGCAGGAAGGAAGTGCAAGAGCTGGGGAAGGGAAGATTACTGCGGAGGTGGCCATCCAGAAAATAGGTTTTCCTGGAAAATATCTCCACCACGACAAAAGCGGGTTGGCTGTGCCAGAGAAATTCAAACTGGCAGAAATTCATGGCCAGAAATCCTTACAAGAGCCAGACCAAGAAGGCCTGGGGGTGCAGCAAACCCTTCCAAGAACATGGCTGCTCCAACAGCCTCAGCCACATAACCAGCGGTGCAGTGGTACATTCCGAAGTGCCGGCACTTGCCATGACAAGCCCCAGGAGAAGCCCAGTCATTGATCCGTATCAATGAGAGGCAGCTGCATTGATCTGTATCAACAACTAGTTCCAGAAGTCCTCATCAATAATGAGAACAGGTATTATACAACGCTATCGGGTGCACCAGCCTCATCAAGATGGGGAGCTAATTGGGGCACCCCATTTTTAGCCTGTGATGAGGAACGAAGAAGAAAGACGGCACTCCAGAAAGAAGCCTTAGCGTTTCCTGTCCAATCTGTTCAAAGAGGCCATTTTAAAGCCCAGGTTCTAATTCCTCTTGCTCATTAGTGACTTTTCCTGCATCTTGAGCCTGTCCAATAAACATCAGGCAAATTAAACATGAACTTCATTACTGACAAGTCAAGCTGGCCTCCAGACCTTAATTAGCTGGGGTGTCATTTGGCAACTAGCTGCAGAGCAGGTGGTGCCTCGAATGCTAATGTGTCAGAGAGAGGGAGGGAGGGAGAGTAGTGGATGAAAAGCAGAGCCTTCGCCCGGGCAGCCTCAAAGCTGCCACGTCAGACTTCCTAGTTGGCAGGGACACTGGGCAGAAAAAAGGTCCAAAATGGAAAACGTTCTCCGTGCCTTATTTTTCTACGGAAATGATTCCGCTACGTCCATTCATTAGCAGCGGCGAATGGATGCCAATTGCAAATTTGACATCAGGGAAGCCTCACTGTGTCAAAGTTCCTATTCCAGATCGTCCTGACCAGCTGAAGAGAGGCGCCGTGCACCACAGCTGGGGAAAACGCCTGCCTTCTGATGGGCTCAGGAGAAGGGGAGCGATTCTGCCCGGTACGGTGCCCTCCAACAGCACGCCAGGGTGTGTGTGTGTTGACTCTCATTCCCTTCCACTGCCGGCAGGATGATGGAGGGCCTTGACTGACATTGCCAGCTCTGTCTGAGCCTGGTCCCTCATCACTTGATCTGGCAGCCTTCGTTCCTGCAGCTGAGCCCCTCGGCTCCTGACAAGGCAACCATAGTGTGGATTGGCTCAGTGCTTGCCTAAGAGGAAGGTTTTTTCTCTCAATTAAGAGGCCCAGAGCCCTGGGGAGAGAATGAGGGTGCAGAACCACACCGGGGTGGGAGGGGAAACGGGGCCCAGTACAGGAGAAATGGAGAAGCGGTTACACCCGTTGGAATAGCTGCAAAGGACCCCTGCAGTAGCTTGTTTGGAAGGGCACAGAGATGCATTGTGTGCTTGCCGTAAACCATCCCGAGACACTACTAATGGGATGATGTATAAAAGCTTCAAATAAAAAAAACAGAAACAGAGCGAGTCAGAAGGGGTCTCCCGGGCCATCTAGTCTGACCCCCTGCTCCAGCCAGCCCCGCTCACGACACGCCCACCATGTGCATGTCTAGCCTATCCTTGAACAAAAAGAAGGGCGGAAATGCATCAGAGCTGGAAATAAAAGCAAGCAGAAGTACTAAAAAGCTGGAACTAAAAGCCAGCACGACCTGAGCTTGTTTTGCACAGCATGAGGGTGAATTATTTCCCTGCAGTGTGGGGGACCGAGGCAAAAACCCAGTGCCCTGGATCTGAACAGCTGCACAGTGGCCTGAAGCAGCCCCATCCAGGCCCCACAAAAACCCACCACCACCTCATGTATGGCAGCAGCAGGGCCTTGATCCCGTTGCTCTCCGGATTTCCGTGAACCAACATGCTCACCTGGGACGGACAACTCTAGACAGGTTTTTTCCAGCTATCATAGTTCGGAGCAGGAACTGGGAAAGCGGGCTGGGCATCTCAGGGAACAGAGCAGAGCGTCGCGGCTGCTCTTATCCTGCTGATTATAGCACAGTCTCCCCTAAGCTTGGTGCCTTGCCGATGTGTTGGCCTACAGCCCCATCCATCCACTGCCAGCCTATGCTGGCTCAGAATGATGGAAACGGTAGTCCAACACCTCTGCAGGGGACTCTACTGTAACGGAGGTCCCCTCCGCACTCCAAGACTCGGTCATCAAAAGCCATCCCCCTCTTAGGCTGCTTCAAACGTGGCCCTCCGACTTCCTGTCTGCTCCAGGCGCCTGCAAGCTCAGAAGCCCTCACACCCCAAGCGGCTCGTGAAAGAAGCACGACCCCAGGGGGCACGCTGCCCACTAGGCCTCCTTACCGTGCAGGTGGTGAGGAGCCAGCCAATGATGGCCCAGCGAGGGAGGATGTCGGAGCTCAGCACCTCGTTGGAGGGGTGGACCACCCCACAGATGTACCGGATGAGGTCGCAGCGCAGGGACTGGCTGTCGGGGGTGGACAGGTACTGCCGCTGGAACCAGTCCTGGTAACGTTTCTGCTGGCCAAAGCGCACCTGGAGGAGAAGCATCGGAAGTTGAACTGCTGGTCCAGCCAGGGTTGGGGGGGGAGCAGCGGAAATGGGGCCACTTCCAGCCTGAAGGTCAACTCCAGTTCCGGAGAAGCTCGCCGGGGGTGCATCCCAGGGGTGGGAAAGGCAGAAGCCGCAGGGCCAAAAGTGCCAGGATAACGAAAGGAGCTTCTACACGCCCTCAAGTTTGCACCTCCCTAGCCCATTCAATGCTTTTTGCAAGCGATGAATGATGTCCGGAGGCTGCTCACCCAGCACTTCGCAAGCGACAGACCAAGAGTTTACGTTACCCGAGATGTCATGAAGAGCAGCTTGGTCTCCATGTCTGGTGTGAGGCGGCAGGCCAGGAACTTGCGTGAAGTCCGAGACTGCAGAAGTTGCAACACACCTGGGGGGGGGGGGGGGGGAGTCCAGATGCAAGATGGAGGGAGAGCAGAAACAAAGACAATCCATTTTTAGAATAGTCTGGATGGACCTTCCAGTTTCAGAAACAGTCTACCTGTGTGTGCTGCATGGAAGAGCTTTCCCCTCCATGCCCTTCTTGCAGGCCTCCTGGAGGCATCCGCCCATTCTCTGTAGGGGCCTAGACGCTGGGCTAGAGGGGCATTTTGGTCTAAAGCCATTCTGAGAGCAATCTACTCTGTAAGAAACGGTGAGCCATGAGGACTAGGAGACATGGTACTTCTGTGTTCAAAAGCAGTCCGCCCAGACATCACAGTGACAGGCCGAGGGTGCTGAACTAAACGGAAGGCATCCCGCTCCAATCCTGCAAGGCCCTTCTTATATTCTTTACAGAATTTGGGACACAGATATGCAGAACGGGCAGCGGGCTCTGCTCTGCCAGCATGGGATCTGCCTTGGATGGGAAGCGCCAGCCTCAGCCAGGGAGGCCATCAAATCACGGGGGGGAGCGCTGCCTGCGCAAGAGCCCAGTCCACAATACTAACACCGACGCTTCCGCGAAGGAGCAAAGCCTGCGATTCAAGGAGCGCTGCTCTTTGAAATGCTTTGGGTGAGGACAACACCTGATGTGCAGAGGAAGGGAGGGAGTATCGCCTCTCCCAGGGGCCCAGTCCTACAGGCAGTCCTGGGAATTGCCCCCAACAGTTCTCCCCAGGGGCTCTCTGGGGGCTTTTATTTCAGCTCCATGAGGCAGAGTAGGCAAACGCCAGTGAGAAAGTGCAGATCGCTAGCAGTAACCCAGGGCTGCCAGGGAGCTGGCCAAGAGACTCGAAGAAATATGTAAAAATGACAGGTGAGGGAAAGGGCAGCGGCTGAAGCGTATTTCCTTTTAAATGCCCCGATGTGAGAGGCTGCTGCCTTCTAGCAAAGACATGGCAGCCTACGTACAGAGGTCTGCCTTCGTTCACACTTTGGCAGGAACACACATAAAAAGAAGCAACAGTGGAGGCATCGTACACATCTCAGTTTCCGGTGAAAGGAAAGTTCCCAGCCCTAATTAGCTGCGAAGAAAAACACATTCCCCAAACCCATTTCATGCCCATTAGCATTGTTTGCTGAACCTCTGGGCAAAGAAGATTCCCACTGGTTAGAGGGGGGGAAATTATGGAGGGATTTGGTGCCCTGCATGGCCTCACCCACAAGCAAAATCAGAATTTTTTTTTTTTAGAGGAGGAGCAGAACAGAACGAAATGAGAGCTGTACAAATTTACATACATTGTGAAGGCCACAGAATCCAGCTTTTCTAAGCAAGGAACGAGAGCACGATAGCTTTCCAGAGCCAAGTACTGCCTCCTCATGTGCCTAGTCCACAGTGTGCCCCAGGGCTCAGCCAGCTGCTTCACCTACCTGTGAACTGCGGGCTCAGAGCCTGTGGGTTGTGGATAATGTCCTTCCAGAGCTGCTCAAACTCAGGTATCCTAGCAACGTTCTGCAGGAGCCTCACTAAATCTCGGCCAATCATGAAGCAATCCATAAACTTGTGGGGAAAGAAGGATGGGGAAGAGATGGAGCAGTCATTATTGGTTTTGGGCACAGCAATAGCGACACACAGGAAACAGGCCATCGCTAACCATTTTGCCAAGTCTAAGACAACTCATCCCCAACACTGGAAAGGTCTTTGCTGGGGCAGATGGGAACCCCCTCCCAAGAGAGCCGCTTCTACAAAAGCGGCACTACAAGCAAGAAAGTTGGTTGCTGACCCTTTCCTCTCCGCTCTTCTCTGCCTTGGCGGCCTGCCCAAAAGCTCAGCGGCTTTGCCTCTCACACGCATGCCAATTCTGGCCTAATTCTGGATGCTGGCAGCATCCTGGGGGCATGTGTCAGCTCTCGCCGCACACGGCTGCCGCTGCGAGCGAGGCTGAGGAGATGCTCGCCACCCGCGAGCTGGTCTGTGGGCTCTCCTGGCAAGGGATGCGGGGGCTTTACCAGGGAACAGGCTCCCGGGGAAGATGGCTGGGCAGGGCACACAAGCATGCGCACCAGTCCCTGCCAGCAGAGGAAGTGCGGCGGAAGCGCCACACGCTGCTCAGCTAAGGAGACGGAGGCTCGGAAGGGCCCGTCCCCTCTTGAGCAAAGGCCCAGGGAAGCAGGGGTGCAGGCGAGAGGAGAGGCCGGCCCGAGAGGCTGACGGGACACAGAAGCTTCCCACCGCCCTCCTGGAGCACAGCTAAATTTGGTTCTGCACCTCGAGAAAGCATGGTCAAAATACTTTAAAATACACCGTTCACTGAACCCCCTGACAGAAAGTGGGTCCGGATGGCTACCGCCTGTGGGATAAAAAAGGGGAGGCCCACCTCTCCCAGGCGGCACCCAAGGGACCCCCCGCCCAGACTCAGCACCCACCACCACCACGCCCTGCAGGTGAGAGGAATGTGGACGTCCACAGTGACGGGAGAGGCTGGCCGGAGGCCTGGGGAAGAACGGCCCTTAACAGCGAGAGGCGCTTGAGGGGGAAAGAGGGAGAACGAGGGCAGCCTTACCCGGTCACGGAGCAGAGAGATGCAAAAATCCACCTCCTTCTGCCGCAGCGCCTGCAGCGGGGGGGAGCCGTGGTGGTCGACGATGAGGCGCAGGTAGGTGTACACGGACATGGCGATCAGCATGGCGCTCTTCAGCACCCACTCCCTGGAGGGAAGGAGGGAGGGACAGGCGCCACGTGGCGGCTTAGCGTGCGCGCGCCACGCAAATGCGCCACGCAAAGGCACGCGTTCACCCTCCCAGCCACGTGGCTCTGTGAGCCACTGACACCAAGCGCTGCTCCCGGCGCTGGAACTCCACGGTCCGGACGCGTGATGTCGAAAAAGAGAGGGAGGGAGGCAAGCCCCACCTGCCAGGGCTCCTCGGAGGAGCACATCCCTGGCCCTGGGCCCTCCCGCTCGCCCGGCCACCCCAACCACGAGTCCTCGGGTGGATGCCCATCTTTTGTGCTGGTTCTTCCCGACAGTTAGGACCCCGAGGGTGTGGGATGGGCTTCCACGGGAGGTGGGTGAGGCCCCATCGGTGCGGGTCTTCAAGGATAGGCTGGACATGCACATGGTGGGCATATCGCATGTCGTGAGCGGAACCGGCTGGAGCCGGGGGTCAGACTAGATGGCTCGGGAGGCCCCTTCTGCCTCGCTTCGTTTCTCTGTTTCTTCCCATTTTGAAAGGGTGCAGCAGCTCAGCTGAGGTTTAGTTCCCAGGGGAAAAGCCATAAGCTGAGATGCGCTGCCACCTTTGAATCCACCTCCTACTGGCATGCAGCCCAAGAGCTCTGCCAAAATGGAATGCAGGCCTCATGGGTGCACATGCGGAATAAAAATAGCCATTCCTCCTCCGGCTCTTCATCCCTGTCCCAGGATCCAAGCAGGAAAAAACGCTCTTGTCAGCTCACAGTTATGGCCAACTACTTTTCTGTACAAGGAGAAGGAGCTCCACTCAAGCTCCAACGTGAGTAAAAGGTGGGTGCCGACATTCCCTTGTGAAAAGGAAACAGGGAGGGAGGGAGAGGAACCAGAAAGAAAAAAGGGAGAGGTTTGGTGGCTGCAAAGCGCTCCGCATACGAGTTAGTTAGCATAGGATGCAGAATGAGAAGCTTTAGATCAAAGATGGAGAAGAGGTGGATGTGTGTGGGTTGAGACAGAGAGAGAGAGAGAGAGAGAGAGAGAGAGAGAGACAGACAGACGGAATGTTCTCCATCTCTTTCAAAAAATCTTCCATGCACACAGAAAACTAGCGCTGCAAGAGGGCTGTGCTACATTTTTCTACCTGAAGCACCACTTTAGTACATGCAGGGAGAATTTTGTCTTCCTCCCTTTTTCCAAATGTGAAGAAATACTGAAGAACACAGTCCAAAGTGACTCCTCCATGCAAGATTCTGTGTCGAGCATGTTGCGCTGAAAGGTTCGTGGGCCCTGTTCCTCGGAACGAGTGATCGACATGGAATTTGACCCACGAACTGAATGGGGTGCAACCTCCCGGAGTTACACAGTACTGCACAGCAGGTGTACAGGCAAGAGTGAGCGAAGCAGGGGGCCCGAGACGGAGATGAAAAGGCTTCGGGGGCACTCAAAGGACCCTCTTCTGCTAGTGCAGAATTAATGTATCTGCGAGTGATGCAGGTTAGAGCCGTTCGGGTCACAGCAGGCCACGGATGGCAACCAGCTGGGCTTGGCTCGCCGGCTCCTTCACCCACTGCTTCTGTTCTCAGTTAGAGCAGCTAGTGTTCGAAGAGGAGAGAGGCCCTTTTAAAAATGTGCCACTCAGTTGAATCCTTGGCTTCCATGCTGCCCACCCCAGTGAAATCCTCTCGCTCCCCAAAGCGCCTTGCTCTTGGAGAACTGTTTTTATGCAGCTGGGCCGGTCACTCACCTGCCACCAGGTGCAACTCGTACCTGGTGCAACTCGCCTGGATCGCGGCTGACACTCAACGCGAATTGCAAAGAGGACCAAGGTCTTGCTTTGTGCACGGGGGGGGGGGGGGGGTTTGGGCTTCCCCAACGGGGGTTTCCACAGGGATGGAGCAGGGGAGATGGCACCCCCCCCAAAAGGAAGGATAATGTGTGTTTGGAGGGGAAAGTGTTACCACCTACTGGACGCTATCTGGCTCAGGTGAGAAGTGGACCTCATGAACAGAACCTGCTCTCTTGGGAATGCACGCTGTCTTGCCTCTTAAAGCATTTAAAGAACCTTCCGACCACTAGGAGAAAGGTGGGTAAAGGCTCAGAAACCTGAGCAGGTAAAGGAGGTAGCGAGCACCTGCACAATTCCCCATCTGCTAATTGTACCAAAAAGACACTGACTTAGTTAGTTGTCCAGAAAAAGCAGCTTGAGTTTTCTTAGGTTAGAATTCTAGTCCCTGCCTTAACAGGGGCTATTATTAATTTTCATTTCTACACCGCTCTACAGCCACAGAGTTTCGACCTATGTTAAAAAAATCCTTAGCAGACCTTGTGGCTTACACCTGTTCCCACAAGGTTGAACGGCTGAACAAAGACCTAACTGTTCAACAGCCTTTTCAGACTCCAAGCCTCCAATCCCACCTTTAGCACCTGATGAAGTGGGTTGTAACCCACAAAAGCTCGTGCTAATTTATTAAACTTATCTGAACAGCTAAAACTGTTTAGTCTGTCCTTGCACTAGACTTCAACATTAATTATCATTATCATCTTTAGGAATGTATTCCAGAGGCAGAATTACAGGATAAAATTCCCACTGCTGGACCAAAACCTAAAATGAAACTTGTGAATGGATACACAAGGCTCTGCACATCTTGTGGGCAGAAAGCAAGGATCTGCAGCCTTATTTATTTTAAAGCTTTTCTAACCCATCCACCACTGACATCTCAAGACAGCTTACAAAAGAAGAACAAATAAAATAAAGCGAAACAAGCACAGCATCCGGCAACTCAAGATAATAAAAGCCCCAGTTAAAAACACCAAACATTAAAATAATGGGAAAATAAATAGGGTTTTGCCTGACACCGAAAAGAGTAAAGCGCAGGTGCCACTTGAACCTCTCTGGGTTGTGTATTCCACAGTTGGGGTGCCACCACAGAGAAGGCTCTCCTCTGGGTAGCCACCTTTCTAACCTCCTTCAAGGAGGGCTCCCGGAGCGGGGTCTCCACCTCAGATCTCAAGGGGTGGGGGGCACATAGAGAAGAAGGCGCTCATTCAGTTATCTCGGACCCAAGCTGTTTAGGGCTTTGTAGGTCATCACCAGCACCTTAAATTTGGCCTGGACTTCAACTGGCAGCCCGCGTAACCGATAGAGGACCTGCGTTATATGTGAATACCAGCCAGTCCCTGTTAACATCCTGGCAGCTCTATGCTGAACCAACTGAATTATCTGGACTGTCTTCAAGGGCAGCCCCACGTGGAGTGCTTTGCAGTAGTCCAATCGGGAAGTTACCAGCGCATGGGTCACCACTGCTAGGCAATGCTCGTCCAAGTAAGGGCGCCGTTGGTGGACCAGGTGGAGTTGAAGGAAAGCACTCCTCGCCCGAGACTCCAGGGACAGCTCTGAGTCAAGGAGCACCCCCAAGCTGCACACCCTGTCCTTTAGGGGGAGTGCAACCCCGTCCGGGACGGGGCTAAAGTCACTTACTCAGAAGACTGAACCGCCTGCCCACAAGACCTCCATCTTGTCTGGATTAAGCCTCCATTTATTGGCACTCATCCAACTCATTACCCTGGTCAGGCACCGGTTAAGGACAGCCACTGCCTCACCTGGACTAGATGTAAAAAAGAGGTGGCGCTGGGTACCATCAGCATACTGATGACTCCGCAGCCCAGACCTCCGGATGACTCCTCCTACCGGTTTCATGTACATGTAAAAAAGCAGTGCCTCCAACTCCCAACCCGGCCATGGTCGATGGTATCAAAGGCCGCTGAGAGGTCCAGGAGAACCAACAGGGACGCACTCCCCCATCTCTCTCCCTGCCCAGGTCATCATACAGGGCGACCAAGGCAGATTCAGTTCCACAGCCAGACCTGAAGCCAGATTGAAATGGGTTTGTTTTTCGGCGCCAGGCCAAGACCTTTTTAAATGATATTTTAACTGTTAATTGCTGTTTTTATTTATTGGTTTTATAGCTCTGCAGAGATGCATCTGGATTTTTAAAATTTATTCAACATTTATTTGCTTTGTAAGCCGCCCCGAGGCTGTTGCAAAGAGGGCGGCATAAAAATGCTTTAAATAAATAAATAGATGGTCAGCTTCCTCCAAGAGCACCTGAAGTTGTCTCACCACCACCCGCTCAAGCAGTTTGCCCAAAATTGGGATATCAGCCACTGGCCTATAGTTGGCAGCTATCTCTGGGTCCAGAGTCACCCTCTTCAGGACAGGCTTGATCACCGCCTCCTTCAAAGGGGCAGGGACCCGGCCCTCCCTCAGAGAGGCGTTGATGACCTCCTGGACTCAGGTACATATCCCGCTTTTGGCTCCGATGGGCAGCCATGAAGGACGAGAGTTGAACAGACAAGCAGCAGGCTGAACCAATCCAAGCACCTCGTCCACTTCTTCAGGCTGCCAGAATGGAACCTCATCCGCTAAACCCGGACCAGGCGGCACTCTGGACACTTCCCGCTCTAAAACCCTACGAACTGTGGAGTCCGGCTCGGGGCGAATCTGGGCGATTTTATCCCCGAAGGGCTGGGCAAAGTCGCCACAGCGAGCTGCAGATGGTGCGACAGGATCCGTTGCGGGCCAGAGTGTCGCAGGCCCTGCGCCACCCAAAAGAGCTCAGCTGGACGGCACTGTGAGGACACAAGGGAAGTGGAGGAGCCATGGCGCTTCCCACCGTGCAAAACGGACCGGCTCTAGGGAGGAGCACTAGATGGCAGTGCGAGGCAGTGTGCCAGGACTGTACTATGCCCAGCCAGGAAAGCAAACAGGAGCACAGGGAGCCCGGAGTGGGAGGCCCAGTGATGCCTCAGTGGTGTGCTTGCTGGCCACAACAACAACCAATTTTAAAGAGAAACTGCTGTGACAATCAGCGACCTTTTGCAAATCGGAGGAGACGGCTGGAAGGAACAGAAATCATGAGACTGCCCGTGATGGCTACAATTTCAGGCATCTGTTTGTTACCAATTAAAGGATGCAGAAGCCCCTCCCGACACGGTCTGCAAGGTCAGAGCTATTTCAGGGAATGGATTCTGCCAAAGACACCTGAGGAGGAGGAGGCCTGGCCGACTTCTGCACAGGTGTCCCTTGCGCCCACCACACCTGTGCAGAATGCGTGTGGCAGAGGCCCGCCCAGGCGGCAACCAAACCCAAGGATCGAGGGAAACACAACACCACGACTGCTCCCTGTGAGCGACCACATTCAAGGCTCTGTGAGTGGCGCTCAGAGGCACCGTCAAATGTGGCAGGAAAGGGACCTGGAAACAGACTTCGATCGCTCTGTGTTTTGACTAGATACCTGAAGTATGAGGCAGCCGGGCACTTGGAAAGCCAATGCAGGGGGCAGAGTGGCTAGAAAGTTGGACTTAAACAGGGCAAGAGGAGTTGGAGTCCCCCCTTGGCCAGAAAGCTCCCTGGTGCCTTTGAGTTACCGACTTTCTGCCTGGTCTACATCGCAGGGTTGCTGTGAGGCTAAAACAGAGAGGAAGGGGACCATGCAGCCCACCTTGGGCTCCTTGGATAAAAGCAGCCTCCCAACGGAAACAATCAGCCAGCCCACCAGAACACGCCTTGGCCGGCCTCCCTCTACTGCCCTGATGTCAGCGGAAAGCAGCTCCTTGGGAACTGCCAGCAGCGGCCCTTCAACACAGGAGTGAAGGAACTGGCTCGCCATTTCGCCTAACCCTGACTGGCAGCAGCCCTCCGCTGTTTCCTGGCCCTGCCAAGGCAGCACGGAACCCGCCTGCAAAGTAACTGCTCCGCCAGCCGCACCTACCTCTGCTCTGTAAGCATGTCCAGGATATTCTCTGCCAGCCAGATGTTCTTCGCCGTCACATCTCCACCTGCAAACATGCAACACAGAGGCTGAAAGACCGGCTGTCTTCCCCTGCCAGGAAGCTGGGAGCATAAATGGCTTTCGTTCCTTTCCACCAAAACATACACCCCTGAAAAGAGGACTCTATGGCTGCTTCCCAGCCTCCTTGCCTGAATACATCTGAACACAGCTTTCTGTGTTCGATCCTTGCAAGCTTTGAGGCTAACAACGGGACTAGTCCTCACTGACACAAAAGACGGGAATATGGGAAGTTGCCTTCTACCAACCAGTATTGTTGACTCTGACTTTCAGGTGGGAGCTTAACCAGTTTCACTGGTGTTGAACCCGGGACGACAGCCGGCTGAGCCTGTGTCCAGCCACCAGGCTGCAGCCCTTCCCCGTAAGAGTCAGAAAATCTGCACAATTCTGTTTCTGCTGGAACAAGCAGACTCAACCAGGCCGGCTAAAAATATGCACAACCTTGACCCTTTACACGTTTTGTATGATTAAATGGGCATTTTACTTAGGGGACACGGCAGGAATGAGATCTGATGCTCCAGCTATGGGACCCAAGCAAGGCATGGGGTTATTTGTCCAATGGCATGCGAGGTCAATTTGTCACTACACAGGGTTAATAAGAAGAAGAGCTGAGTGTTGTAAATTCCTACTGCTCAACCAAAGAGTGATTACAGGCAAATTCCTTCTGCTTCCAGTTTCTACCAGAGAACTCCTGCTACAGCTTGAGAATGTGTTCAATTGGGTGCACAGTTTCTGGTTAAAATTGTGCGCTTTCCCCCAGCAGATGGAAGTGCTAAAGTGCACATTTTTAAAAATGTGCAAGTATACTTGGGAACTTGCTATAGCTTTTCCAGGAAATTATGAACACAATTACCTGGGCAGATCAGAAGTAAAATGATTCCACACAATATTCTCTTCCATCCTAAAGTGAAGAACTACCCTCCGACGAACTGATTCTAAAAAAGATCCTGGACTGTGCAGAAATGGATAGATTGACTTTATCATTGAAGGAGAAGGAAGATAGTGACTTCTCAAACTTGGGGCTCTTTTTATTATTGGCTAGAGAAACAGGACTTTGCATAGATTTAAATACATTTTTAAGTTATCATAAATGGAAAAAGAAGGGTGTGGGGGCTGACCCTGCGGGCTTGATGTTTTTGATGATGGATGTTGTTTGTAGTTTTTCTTTGTTTTTTAGGATTATAATCTCAAATAAAACTTATTTAAAAAATATTTTCTTCCATCCTGCTGATAACTCCCAACGTCCCCCTTCAACCATAGCACATACTAGTTATAATCCAACACATCTGGAAGACAACACACTGAGGGGGCCTGTGCTGCACACCAAGCTCCTCAGATGGGGATAAAAGCCATAAATTTGCAATAGGATACAAAAATCTGCACCATGGACCATCTTGCCGTTTCAGATCTCTCTTATTTCTGAATGTGCAGAGAGAGGCCGTCTCCTAACCTTCTCTCAAGGCAGATTCCCGGGCTCAAACAGGACTAGGGTTCAGGGAAAGAGTCACACAACACAGTAGAGAAATGAATCCTAAGCCACTCCTAAGTAAAATATGGAGAAACTACTCAAGCAACATGAAAAACAAATCTTTTAAAACATTCCAGTCTTACGGAATGTCTTTTGAAAACAGGAACAAAAAAACCTGTCCTACAATATTACGAAATAGTTTATAGATAGGCCATTTGCTAAAATCGGACAGTGTTCTATATTGGCAACACTGGATAAACCATTTCGCAAGAGCACTATATTAAAAAGCTACGGATCTCCTTTTCAGTTGTTATTTTTTAATAGAACAAAGCCTCAGTGTAATGGTCATTGTCCTTAAATTAGGCAGCAAAGACAACGGGGATGTTTTAAATAAACCCAGAGCAAGCATGCCTAACATTTGCGGTCCTTTCTTTAACCTGGCGTTTTGTACATTGTGTTGCTAATTGTGCCATGGATTCGGCTCAGGGCTGCTTTGCAGGAAAAACAGCAGGACTCCAGCAGTTTCTTCCGCTCCCAGCTCTGCCTGGCTCTGGTTGAAAGCAGCTTTGCTCAATTAAACCCAAGCTTCCCATAGCTGCTGGAAACCTGGTCCCTGGGCAGCACATTGCCACAGGACCCCATGTGCCTTTTAATGTGCCTGGGTAGGTCAGTGAGAGGGACACAGGAGGCTCAGTGGCAAACAGCACCACCAGCACGGATAAAACCTGGGGCAGCGGAGCAGGGGAAGGCAGATGACACTTAGAAGGCTGGGATTGGTGGGTGCTGGGCTTGCACCAGAAAGCTCAGCCACTCTCAAGCTCAAAAGAGAAGCCAGTGTGGCGTCGTGGTTGAGAGCCTGGGACTGGGACTCAGGCGATCCGGGTTCGAGTCCCCGCTCGGCCATGGAGACAGCTGGGTGACTTTGGGCCAGTCACAGCCTCTTGGCCCAGCCTACCTCACAGGGTGGTTGTTGTGGGGATAAGATGGAGGAGGAGAGATGATGTAAGCTGCCTTGAGCCCTTTGTAGGAAAAAGGCAGGATATAAATCGCAATATAAATAAATAAATAATATAAAAAGACTCCACATCACAAGGAAGCCTTCCCCAGCTGGTGGCCCTCCAGATGCCTGTTGGACTAAAGCTCCCATCAGCCTTGGCTCCAGCCTGAAGGCCAAATTTCATCTGGAAGAAACTTTGGGGGGTGGGGTGCATTCCAATGGTGGGGCGGGCCAATGGGAAAGGGAGAGGGGCCAAAATACCAAAAACACTGGCACATTTGTTGAAAACAAGAGAAATCTTTTAGAAAGGGGGAGACATATAACAGCTAGGAAAGCAGAGAGTAATTGGTGGGTGGAGGCAGGAAGCCAGGAGCCGACAGGGAAGAGGCTCAACCCCCATGATCTGGATGCCTTGATAGTCTGGCCCAGCTCCAGGTCGACCCCAAAATGCTACATGACATGGGGCAGTCTTAGGACCCACGTCCCTCTTGTCAGTGTAACATGGGAAGATCAGGCCTGAGTTGGGCCCAAGGTAGCCAGAAGGGGACTCTGTGAGACGAAAAGGCCTTCCTGGGCCACCCCAGCAGGAGTACCCCAAAACCCCCACCTGCAATCTGCTTCATGAAGGTCATGCAGATCCCATCGATGCCAAGGATGCCGCTCCTCACCATCTCCCGCAGCAGCCAAACAAACTAAAGAGGGGGGAAGAGAGCGGAGGAGTCAAAGCCCGTTCAGACGCACGTCCCAAGCCAGACCCCGCTTGCCGTGTCTCCCCAGGGCCCCTCTTGTCAGTCATTATTCTCAGGTACTGTGACTCAAGACACAGCCTCTAACGAGAAATCCTGTCAATCTCTGTTTCCTTGTTTGAAAAAGTCAAACAGCAGAAAGTTTCTAGCACTCACACACAGCTGCGGGGGAAAAAAACCGCTGAAACAGCCACGGGCATTTCTGCTGTGATGATAAAAACCATGTCCACGTGGCGTAACTCCATCATGGATGATGCAAAGTGAAGGGAAGAAGCCCGTCCACCAATCCCTCCTATTGCCTTACATGAGTCTCCTCTCCTCTCCTCTCCTCAAAGAGTTCCTCACAATAGGAAAAAAGGCAGGATATAAATGCCATGATGTAGAAGCAGTAGTCATCCCCACTACCATCATCCGAGCTACTTATTAGATTAAGCGTGCCAAATTAAGCCATGCTGCAGCGGTTGTTCGAATTGCAGAATCCCACATGCCGAACAGACACAATCGTAGCCTTCACAGCTGTGCTCAAGGGGAATGCTGCTCGCTAGCTTAGAATCGCTGCAGCTCTAACCCGGCTTCCTGTCCGATCCCCTTTTTCTTCTTCAATACACACACACCTGAGTACGACACGTGTCCTGCAACTTCAGGTACTTCTCCATGAGAATCTGGTTCATCTTGTTCAACACCGTGTTCATGCCATCTCGGCTCACCAGGGCCAGGTCCCGGTAACACTGTGCCAGGGAGTGGAGAAAAACTATTATTAAGGGGCAGAAGGGTCAGCGAAATGCTGTGCGAGGACAAAGACACAAGCAGCAGTGACTGAAAGATGGCACACAAACCCTTTGTATCCACAGTAAGAGAATGTGTGTGCATCTGCTTTATCATCTCTCCACAGCGTTAAGAGTATAAAACATATATATGTACTGGATTTTCATCTTGCCACATTAGTCAATAAGGCTCCCTGAATGGGTTACAATGTTTAAAAGTGCTCGGTAAAAAGTAATATTAAAATCAACAGATTATATAACAATAAAATCCGAAAACCACTACAAAACTCACAAGACCTCAATTTTATCTCAACAGAGACATAATAAAGAGCACAGTAGTGGGTTATAAAGCAAAATTTTAAAAACAGTAAACTCATCTTAGCAATTAAACTATTGGGTGAATAAAAAGGTCTCTGCCTGGCAGAAAAGAACACAAAAGAGGCGCCAGGCAAACCTCCCTGGGGAGCCGATTCCAGAGCCAGAGTGCCACCACAGAGCAGGCTCTTGCCCTTGTGGCTATCAAGGCATCTAAAACTTCCCAGGCGTACTAAGGAAGCCCTAGGCAACAGCCCTGCAAAACTGCTTTGCTTTAAAATGCACTGAGTTATTTTTTCTAAAGTTACTTTGCTTCAAAATGTATTAAACTACATTTAATTTAAAAGTCTCCACGTGGTTGAAGCTTGCAGTAGCACCCGTAGCCTCGACGCCCTTCTAATAGGAGTGTCTCTAAATCAGTCAACCATCGGTGGAGCAGTACGGCTGCTACTCCTCGAACCCGTGTGTTCTGGCAATATCCAGCACGTGCTTCTTTCAAAGGAGGGAACAATACGGAACTTTGGGACGGAAAGTCCTTTAATATTTACAAGCCCCAAGTGTTTTTCTTAACTACTCATCACTTGGAGCATAAGGCAAGGTTGAGATAAATGGGTTTTCCTCACCCTTTTTGATAGTTACAAGACTAAAATTACAACTGGAAGGACACACGGCCACCTTTGAGAACACAACAGGTTGAGGACTCAAAGAGGCTTTTGATTTTTTTTTTTTAAGCGTAAATCCACAAAGGGATACATTTACGGGTAGCTGGGCTGCCTTTGCTGAAGTCGACACACAAGGAACCCTTAGAATAGTTATAGATTTTGCTCTAAATGCTATATATTGAGGTACATAACACAGGCATCCATTTGAGTAGGTTCCTTCACATTGCAGGAAGGAAAACTAATGCTTTTACTTCAACTTGCTGTACTTCTGTTTATTTTGCTGTCGGTTTTGTTCTGATTCTTGAAAGTCACAATAAGCATGCTATTGATGAGGATAAAACACCGCTTTGGTGTTGGCACACACTGAATATGGCCTGCAGAGATGGTAGGCAGAGGGCGGGAGCTGTGGGGCAGGCTCCTTCGGATGCTTGTCCCGTCGGCCTTGCTACAGGGCAGACCCCGAAGGAGCTCCGTGGCAGGGGCTGTGTCTTGGGAGGCCGGCAAGTATGGCTTCGCTGTATCACAGGGAGGGCAATTCCAACTTCTAAGAAGCCAGATCCATTGGCTACTTGTTGTTGTTGTGAGTCGCCAAGTCGTGTCCGACCCATCGTGACCCCACGGACAACATTCCTCCAGGCCTTCCTGTCCTCCACCATCCCCCAGAGTCCACTCCATCCAGCCACCTCATCCTCTGCCGTCCCCTTCTGAAAGAATTTAAAAGTCCTCTGTGCTGGAGCTGGGAATTTTAAGGTGACTGGAACTCTGCATACACAGGGGACCCCCAGCCTCCCTCTACAGCCTGAAAGGATTAGCAGGGAATGGAGTCAAAACTGCGTGTCGGATTTTGCCCCTTGGTTCTCTTCCTCACTGGCCATCCAATGTAGGAGTGAAAACCAGGGGCCCACATGCAGAGGCAGGCTCTGGAAAGGGGAGGCGTGCCAAGTGGCCGCATGAACAAGTGTTTTCTGGAAGCCTGCGCACGCGAGCCACAGAGGGAGCGGAGGAAGGAAAACGAGCTTCTGGCTTCTCCTCCTCACTTCCCCTGCCCTGCGAGGTGTGTGCGTAGGTCAAGGAATCAGGAAGGCTTGGCTCACTCTTCCTTCCGTTCATGCTAATTGGTGCTGCTGAATGCCACGCTGTTCCGGACAGAACAGATTTGCTCTCCGGCTTTTCCCTTGAAGAGGTTAAGGAGGCCCTGGAAGAGCTCTTTGATTAAAAATGCTGGGCTCCAGTTTCCGTCCACATGCCACCCGGCGGCTGCTCGGCTTGCCCTTTCAAGTCCTTTGCTAATGCTAAACAGAAGCGTGTGCGCGCAGGCTGGAGGGCAGGCCCCGGCCCCAAAACAACCGTCACGGTGCGACGAAGTGACAGCCAGGGCGCTTCGCCCCCCGAGGGGCTCCCAAAGCTGTTTGACAGGGAGCAGAAGGTCTTCTAGGCACAGGAAGCCAGGCAGCAGGTGGGGATGCAGAAGCAGTTGCTCTAAGAAAAAGCACTCTGTGCATGCTTGAACACACTCTTTTTAATGAATGCTCTAGAGGTCTCAAAGGGTCAGAACGGTCATGGCAGGAGTACAAGGTTTCTGGTTTTGCATTTCATTTTCTGGAGAGGCTGAGATGCATATTTTTCGATTTAGATCCTGCCTTTTTCCTACAAAGGGCTCAAGGCAGCTGACATCCTCCTCCTCCTCCATCTTATCCCCACAACAACAACAACCCTGTGAGGTAGGTTGGGCTGAGAGCCTGTGACTGGCCCAAAGTCACCCAGTCGGCTCCATGGCCAAGCGGGGACTCGAACCCGGATCGCCTGAGTTCCAGTCCCGTGCTCTTAACCACTAGGCCACACTTGCTTTGATTTAAAAAAAAAAACTTTAACTGAAAAGTAAATTCTGCAGTCGATTCCCACTGCAATTGTTGCTGTTGCTTTATAGAAGACTTCCAACAAAATGCTGAGGTGTGGAATGCTCCCGTTTGACATTGCACATTGGCTGTGGCATTTTCCAGAGAAAGCCACGCCACCCCAAAAAAACACCCAGATTGTGTTTTTTTCTGCGTCTGCAGGGAAGCCCATCTCCATTAATATATATTTTGTCCTCCTGAGAACACCCAGGCTTGCCGCTTCCTTCTCCTTCTGCTTGCTCTTACGAAACGGGAGGACTACGGTAGCACCAACACGACCCACAAAAGGCTCGTGGTCCAGGAGGCTTACGGAGAATAAGACTAGGAAGACAGGCAGGAGCTGGCCGGAGGAGCCTGCATTTATTCCCCTTAGAGGTGCCCAGGCTGCATAACAGCAGAGTTTGGGCCTAAGACAGCCTCCCGAACCTGGTGCAACGCAGCTGCCTCCACCTCCCGTCATCTGCAGCCAGCATGGCCAATGGTCAAGAGGAGTGGAAGATGCAGTCAAAAATTTCCAGAAGGCCTCAGAGTGTGGGGAAAGCTTGAAAAAAGAGTCTGAGGAAGACCGGCTTCCCGTTTTACAAGAAGGGAAAGGGAGCAGAGGACTCCAGGGCTTCTGCCGTACTCAAGAGCAGCCGTTACTCAATGCTTAGTTCCACGATGCACTGCAAGAAATCCGACTAACGCTCCCCGTTTTATTAACGGAAAAGGAACACAGCCTGAGAGATGCGCCGTTGGAATGAATAAATCAGAAGGGGGCAGCCAGCCACCCTGGCTCCAGAGACAGGCACACGAGGAGGTGTCTTGGAGGCTTTCTACTTTGAGCACTGGATAGGAGATAAAAGCAGGGGCTGGGGGGGGGGGGGGGGGGGAAGAAGCTCTCCCTCCCGTTTGGGAAGGGAGCTTTAATTAAAAGCCAGAGCCGGCCAAGCGGGGGAGGTGGTGACCTCACACACACGACGGCGGCTGTCGCTTCGAAAGTCCAACACAGCCGAGCACCTCGGAGCACAGCTGGACGGCACTTAGTGGATGGAGCCAATTTCCTGTGTGCGCAGAGGGTCGAGGGAGCAGGAGGGGAGGGGGCAACTCCCCCACTTGCGGAAGTCCCTGAGACGCTTAGGGAGAGGCTGGCTGTGCCGAGACAAATCCGGCAGCCAAGGAGCCGAGAGGAGCATCCTTTTACGCATCGCCAACACACAGCAGGGGGCCTGGGGAAGCAGTGCTCAGAAAGAGGGGCTGACGGCTCACCTCCCAATACCTGTCACCCCAGGTGCCCACCAGCATCCCAGGAGGAACAAGCTGGCGTAGAGCGATTTGCATGCTTTGGACTGGAATGAAAGCATGCAGGGGCAAGTGTTCAGCTCACAGGCAGGGCAAAGGAACGCAGGGGGGAGAGTGAGCTCCCCAGAGCAAATTCTCTGGAAGGCAGGAAACAGAAGCCACTCAGTCAGGTAAAACAGCCCCCTTGACAGTCACTAGAGAAATAACATGGCATGAGGAAGTTCTGTGTGGGTATGAGGCGAGACTGAGGGAACTGGGTCTCTGCAGCCTGGAGAAGAGGAGACTCAGAGGGGATCTGTTGGCAACATACGGGTATGTGAGGGGGTGTCACACGGAGCTGGGCAGAGACCCATTCTCCCCTGCAGAGGAGGGCAGGACACGCTCCAATGGAGCAAAGCTCAGGGAACCAGGGTTCAATTTGGATGCCAGGAAGCACTTCCTGACAGTCAGGAGCCCGAGGGTGCGGAATAGGTTTCCACAGGAGGTGGCTGAAGCCCCATCGGTGTGGGTGTTCAAGGATAGGCTGGACGTCCACATGGTGGGCATGTCGTGAGCAGAGCAGAGCCGGCTGGAGCTGGGGGTCAGTCTAGATGGCCTGGGAGACCCCTTCGGACTCGCTCTGTTTCTATGTTTCTGTCCCATTCCCAAGCAATCCTTTGGCAACCCGGGGTGTGATCCAAAGCCACAACCTGGTCCTCTGAAAGGGAATGTTGGCAGACTGCAGTAAAGAAACTGCCACGGGAGAGTTTCCCCCAGCTCTGCAACACCAGAGTATGAAGCTGCGCGTTGCTTCCGTGGCAGGGCCACATGGTCCTGTTCGTCACCCTGGTTAGTCATTCAGAGCCGGGGGACTCTGCCACTGCGGCAGCTGCCTCCAACGGACAGGGAGGACACGGCTAAGAAGACATGTCTTGATGGGGAAGCACGAAGACAAAGGGCACACTCACACAATTACAAGGAAGAGGGACGGCCTGCATGGGCCTCACAGAGGTTTCAGGGCGCTTCGTCAGGCAAGACAGCCGCCTGCTCTTACTGGGCTTGGGTATCACGAGGCTAATGATGCTGACCGAGTGACTCGTGACCAGCGCATGTGTCTTCGTGCGAACCCAGTCAAACTGAATGCCACCACAAAGTAACCAGTGCCAGGCAAACAGTGCAATACTGTGAAAGACGTTAGGAGACAGAGCGCCCGGAGGAGGGCCTTCTCTGCGGTGGCGCCCTGATGATGGAATGTGCTCCCCAGGGAGGTCCGCCTGGTGCTGTCACTCTATGTTTTCCGGCGCCAGGTCAAGACCTTTTAATTTAATCAACACTTTAATATGTTTTAATGGAAATTGGATTTTATTGTTTGCAATTTATTAATTGCAGCCAGCGTGGAATAGTCCATTTATCTATTTTATTCTGATTTATGTTGTAAGCCGTCCAGAGACACAAGTAATGGACGGCATACAGGTTTTATAAATGCATAAATACCACGGATGCACGGAAGCAGGGCAGCTCTCTGGCCGTGACTGCCACACTGTCTGTCTCTACCCCGGTCTGTGTTCCTACTCGGTCAAAGCTGGTTTTCAGGCAAGGATCAAAAGGTCAGAACTGTGTGAGCTCTCATCATTCTTTCCTCCACCACAATGGCTTCCTCTCTAGGAAGTGCATCTTTATTTCAGCTGTGGATTCCACTCTTACGGAGGAGGAGCAGACGGGGCGTTACAGGAAAAGACCACAGGAGGGAGGGCTGTGGGATAATCCCAGGGTGGTCCTTGCAAAACAGGCAAAATGACTCCCGCCAGCAACCCCGCTTCTGCCGGCAGCGGGCAACTGCTGAGAAAAACTAATTCCGCTCCCAGAATTGGACTTCAGAAAATTCTGCATTCTGGAGGGATAAGGTGGGGCAGGACAGCATGGGGGTGTGCAGCGGAAGCCTTGCTCTCGCAGCTAATGCTTTTAAGGGCTTCAAAGTGCCAATCTCTGTCTAAGACTGGAGTCGGGGTGAAGCCTGTGGGTTTCGTGAAGCCCTGTTCCCCCCGCAATTTGGCCATTGTCCCAAAGCAGTTTCTGTCACTCCAGGAAGAGAACCAAGCGAGCTCTTCCACCAGCCAAGTCCTTCAAGTCTCCCTGATGCACAGCACTTCCTGTAACCCTCTGGGGGCCTCACTGCTCCAAGGGGTCTCCTCACTTGAACACATTCTCCTCCCAAGGGGACCATAATGGCGGAACCAGCCTGTAGATGACTGAGCTGGCCTGCTGTGGTGGGAGAAATGAAGAGCAGACACCCCCAAAGGTGGGGGCGAGGGACCGATGAGGCTCCTTACCTTCTGCGCTTGGGTGGGCTCCAGGAGGATGAGGGTGAAGAGCCCCAGGCATATCTCCTCATGCTGGGGGGCACCTTTGCAAACCTGGAGGGGCAAGGGAAGACAGATCAGGGCGGAGGAAGAGAATGAAGGAAAGAGAGGGTGGCACAGGCAGGTCTCCACAACCGGGGCAGAGAGAGTCCTGACACCACGGCATCCTTCTGAGTTGAAAGGTGCTAAAAGTGGCCTGCAGCACATATGGAGACCCAGGTGCCAGGGCAGGGTCTATGAAGAGAAGGGGCACGACCGAGATGGGCCCGTGGGCATGCTGGGTCCTCCAGTACTCCAGGGAGGAAGAAGAGAGCTGGCTTCGTGCCTGGCTCACAGGAAGCTCCGAGCCAGGGTAGCCTGAGCTTTTCGTTCTAGTCCAGGGGCCACATGGGATCCATCGCCACATCCTCCAGCAACTGCCCACTGGGAAGAACCCCAGCTCACCCTTGAGGACCTGAGCTTTCACCGAAGATTTCAGCATTAATGTGCCCGAGTTTGCTCCCCCGGAACTCACACTGCCCCTGGCTAAGCCTCCGGAAAAGCACTGCAAACTTTCGGCACGGGGAGGACACCGCACAAAAGCTGGGAAACCACATACCGTTGTGGGAAAGCGGGAGCGCTCTGGTCCCGATGGGTTGGACTTGGCCCCAAGAAAGAGATTCCGCACTCCTGGTTCTGACCTGAGGGGCAAAGCTCTTCCGAGCGCTCTGAAAAAGGACCCACCAGGCGAGAGATACTCACGTGAGCGTTCAGGGCGTCGTTCGCTTCCCTCTCGGAGACGCCACCCGTCAGGGACGTTACGGTCCCCATGCATCTTTCCAGCCTCTGAAATGGATAAGGCAAAAGCCACTGTGATGAACGGGAGGAAGAGGAGCATGCCGTGCATGGCCCGCTAGGCCCAGGACGTCCAAGGGACCCTTACTGGAATGTCTGCACATACGACAACAGAGGCAATGGCTGGTTTCACACACAGGCCAAGTTTTGAGCCACGTTTGCTTCAGAGTGGCTTGTCGTGTTGCGTGTGAGTAACAAGCCACACACCGCACACGGCCCATCATTTTGTGCAACCCCAATCACCCGATTGGCTCCAGCAATCAGAAATTGCCCCCAAGTGACTTAATTTTTTTAATTCCATGCAGGTCTATCCTGCCGCATCAGCCCATGGGGCTCTCTGGGTGGTTCACGATTGCAGTAGATAAATAACCATTTTACAATAGAGAAAAACAGTTTAAAAGAATAAAACGTGATGCTGCAAACCCCATACAAGCACAGGTTTATACAACCCAGAAAACAACTCCAAGGAGAGCTTAAGAACACCCACACACCTCAAACAGCTCATCATGGTGTGCAAACCCAGTTACAGCCCATGGCGTGGGTCCCACTGGGGTCCCTGCCCAGTGGGGGCAGAAATTACCTGCACGCCCCAGGCATGCTGAGGGTTGAGCCTCTACATGAGAAACTCTTGTCTCGGTCGGAAAAACAGCCATGCAGCACAGCTCTGGGATCCACCTCAGGGGCAAGCGATACTGGCGTGGGGTTGGGAGATTCAGAGGGAGCTGATGGCAGCCAGAGGGCAGAGGAGCTCGGGATTGTTCTGTTTCTCCCTCAGCGACGTTGCGCAAACACAGCCAAAGAAGGAGCAGGCCACCGACACAAGACCCTCACTATGCCGGGGAGCCAGGAAACACTCAGCAGCCCATCGGGACGGAGAACGCCAAGCACCCCCACTTTCAACAACACCGGAGCTGCATCTGCAGGAAGGGGGTGGAGGTGCGAAGCACATCAATAGCCCCATGTTCTTCCTGGTGAAGACACACCTCCCTGAGACAAAAGGCTGGAAGCTGCACTAGGGACCTGTGATCATTTTAAATAAAAAATGCCACTGCTGCCTTGCCTATGAGGCACTTCGCTTTTCGTGTGCTTTGCTGAGCCTCTCCGGAAGGCCTTCCTTAAAACTGAAGTTGCCCAGATTTTCCTTCTACGTCAGTTTCCAAACTGCCCCCAGATTAGCAGCTGACTGAGGCTCGAGGCGAGATGCTCTTGTAAAGCAGAGATGCTCTGCAATTACAGATCCTTAAGATCCCTGCAGAAATGATGGGCGCCACTGGGGAGCTCTGCATCACTGGGCTTGAGGAATGGGCCATTCTGCACTTCCGGCTTTCAGCCCTCCCCAGGGGAAAAGCCGTGCTCTGTCGACATGACAGGTGTCAGCCAGAGTCCCTCTACTTCGGAGGTGTCCCATTCAATCGGTGACTTCTGGGTAAGCGTGTCAAGCATGGAGGCCCTCCACCTTAATGGTCAAAGAGGGAATTTTGCCAATGAGAGACACCGATCTCCTGTCCCAAGGAATGTGACCGGCTGCTTCTGCCCAGCATGTTGCACGAAACACCCTTGGATCTGAAGGTGTGGTGCTGTTGTCAGTGTCATTGCCGTCTTGGATTGAAACATGAACAGGGGCCCACCTCATCTCATACACCTGGTCTTGCCCTTTTAATCTCTGCACCTTCATTATCAGGGCAAGCTTGGATTAGCGCAAACATCTGCTTCTGCTCTTTGCTTGCAGCCAGGTGCAGCAAGCTGCGCCGTTTAATTAAAAAATGGCAGAGGCCTTCTGGCCCCGGAGCTGCCGGCCGATCACACTCTCCTGTGCTGAGTCCTCCGCCAAGGAAGCCTCCCTTGACAATGTGACAGCAGCACCTCTTTCTAAGGCAGCTTCTGTTCAGATCTAGACACGGCCCGCAAGACTGGGTGCTACACCTGCCCATAGTATCTCCTCTACCTTCCCTAGCCAACAGGCATACTTCCCAAATCAAAACTGACGGTTTTTTGTACCACCCCCACAAGAAAAGAGAATCTGAACTCTGAAAACAGACTGTCTTTGATGTCTAAAGTCACAATTCTGTGCATGTTTAGACAGGAGGGTAAGAGCCAGTGAGAGCGCTGGACTGGGGACCTGGAAGATCCAAGATCTAGTCCTCACTCAGCCAAGAAGCTCGCTGGGTGACTTTGGGCCAGTCATTCCCCTCTCAGATGAACCTACCTCACAGGGTTGCTGCTGGGAACGGAGCTGAAACGGAGCTATTTAAGTTGCCTCGGGTTCCTCACAAGAGGCGAAAACGCTATAAATGCAAGGTGGTGGTGGTGGTGGTGTGGGCAGCCAAGCAGATATCCGAGCCCCAGCCTTCCCAAGCAAGCCAAGAAGCTCCTCAAGGGACTGCTAAATATGTGCAGATTTGTGGTGTATACACGCATGACGAATTAATGAAATTGTTTCCCCTTTTGATGCCAGTAACTGCAAATCAAACCAGGCTTTCTCTCTTTCTCTGGGAAAAAAAGAAAGGCAAAAACCACACACACACACACACACACACACACACACACACACGGGGAGAGGAGGAGGGAGGGGGGAAGAAAGGAAGCGTTGGGGGAAAAAAGAACACAAGGCCTTTGGACTATGTCTCGCCCCAGACATTCCCCACAGACCATGTTGCTGCTGCCACAGAGCAGCTCTCAATCACAGTCCCTTTGATACCTCTAAATTACAACAGCTAAGTGTGAGAGAACAGCACACACACACACACAATCCTTCTGTCTCAGAAACCCCCAAGGAAGAGCTATAATTGGGTTCCCCCAGCACCACACACATCCTCCAAGCCAAGCAAACACTCTCGTCCCTTTGAAGGAGAATCAAAAAGGCTCGCCCAGGGACTGAAGCATCCGCGCCCTCACTGGCTGCCACATCCACAAGGAACAGCCAGCCATTCCCAGCATGTGCAAATCCAGCAGCCCATTAATACCCCTGGTGGCACAGGCTGAAGCCAGGACATGGTGCTCTGGAGGAAGAGTCCGTGCAGCTCACCAACTACATCCCTCCCCAGGCAGGCGACCACAGTCACAAGGGACTCTCAGCTGCTTCCATTTTCCCTGCATCACCTTGCCGTGCCTGGCCACGGCCGGTTTTCATTCTTTTCCCGCGTATAAAACCATTATAGTAACCCCTACAGGCTCTTGAGGGTGAGGAAAGAGGAGGTGCCAAAAGCTACTTGTCAAATCCACAGGAGAGACGGAATAAGGCAAAGCCTCTCCCAGATAAACGGAACCACATTATCACGTTTGCAAGAAAGTTCACACCTCGCCCCTGTGCACAAAACACAACCACAGTTTCAGGGCTGGCTGTGCCGACCTCTGGACTGGGGACCCCCCCCCCCGGCGTGTTCCCCAAAGATGCTTGTGCTAGAAAACTCAGAACCAGAGCCAAAAGCACCCAGATCCGTTCTGCTAGCAGGGCAAGACCAGACAGCCCCACACCTCACATTCCAACCCAGGTGCCTCTTCCCCCCACCAATCACCCAGGCTGTTCCTGCTGCTATTTCCCTTCTGCACAGATCCTACTGTGCTGGATCCTGGCCTTGGGTCACAACATTTCTAGTTCAAGCATCAAGGTTTTCAGCAGCAAAGAGACCGGGACGAAGGCCTGTTGGCTACGGGCATCGGTCACTGGCTCCTGGATTTAGGAAGACTCCAGCACCCGAGTGAAGACCCTCTTTTTAGCACAAGGGCTGAATTCAATTTAGGAGCGCTGCAGGGGTGCCCATGCCACTGGTGGGAAGGGCCGAAGACCAAAGCGGGTGGCCTCCAAGCATTTGGGACAGTAAGTCCCAATACTCCATCCCAAACCCGCTGGGAGCTGGCATCAAAAACCTACGATGGAACCAAGCTGCAGAAGGCCGACCCCAAACATTGACAGTGTGGGCCTCAGTTCTCCCTAAAAATTTGCTGCCTGCGGGTGACTAGGGAGAAGATGGTGTGGAACTGAGACTCGCGCTGCTGCTCCGGCTGGTTCAAACAGGCACGGCCAAGCCCTGGGCGAGTTCCCAGCCGTGTGACATGGGAATGCCTCCCCGGTGGGGTGTCAAGGTTCTGTCCCTCTGAAGTTCTGACAGCCGTGATGGAAATATGAGCCAAACGCCAAGATACGCGCTGATCTCCAAAGGGCTGCCTGGGCAGTCCAAGGCCAAGCCATCATCCACCCGGACAGCATGGAAAGTTACCCTGATGTTTGAAGACACGCTATGAATCTTGGTTCAGGGCCAGGGGGATCTCACGGGGGCGGCGAGAGAGAGATACTGCTCCTGCCTTTTAAGTTCTGATTACTACCATGGTGTTTTCCTCTTCCAGACTACATTTTGCGTTTAGATTTCAGCTATAGGTATATCAAAGAGCATGTATTTTCCAGTCACATCAGGCATTGCTCTATTATGCCCCACATGTCAAAAAGAAACCCTTTTCTTATTGTCAGAGGAAGAGGACTGGGTGACTGGGCCTGTACTGGACTGTACCTGAAGGACCGTCTGTCTCAGGGGCAGCTCTCTGAGCAGCGGCGGACCTCCATCCCATTGGCACAATTCTAGCAGAGGTCCAGACCTTCAGATTTTAATGCCAGGGAAGGAAAGAAGGGTAATTAACCACTGTTTTCACAGCAGCTATACACACCATCCTGCACGGCCCTGTAAGGATCCAGAAAGGAAGCCTGCCCAGGTTTTAAGACATCCCTTCTCTCAGTTCTTCCCCCAGTGGAGGTCTTTTCTTGGTGGCTGCTCCCAGGTTCTGGAATTCCTACTAAGGGAGGCAAGCAGCCAAGAAATTCTCCAGTGCTACCTGAAAATGCCAGGGTTTGATTCTGGGACTTTCCGCAAGCTCTGCCAGAGGCACAGTTACTCCTCTTAAACTTTCTGCTCGAGATTCTTCACGCACAATTTGTCCAGTTATGAGCATAGACACAATCCCACTTCTATCGCCCTGGGCTACTTTGCAGGGCTGTTGTG